CCAATATTAATAACAAACTTTTAAAACACACTGTGTTTCTTAAACCACAAATACAATTACAAAATATTTTCCAGAAAAAAGGTGGCGTGCAGTAAATGTGCCAATTCAGTAATTCACACAATGACCTTTTAAAGGGATAGCACATCACATTACAGTACATAAAAAAGGTTCTTTACAAAATGTTCAAAGTGCCGCAATGTGCTGGCTCTGGTGTGTATTTGCGGGGCGCTACCTCCCCCTCCATATTATATACTGTTAATATTCCACAGTGCAGCATGACAAATTGGAACAATCCACTTTATTAAAATCATAGAACTAACTAAAATACAATAAATCAATAATTTCACCTTAATAATATTGGATTCCTCAGTCAGTTTCCATATTCTCTGTTGTCTCACATAAAGGGACACTATAGTCACCTGAACAACTTCAGCTTAATGAGGTTGTTCGGGTGAGAACTATAGCTCCCTGCAGCCTTTCTCATGTAAACACATTTTCTAAGAAAATACAGTGTTTACATTGAAAGCTAGGAACACCTCCAGTTGCAGTCACTCAGAGTGAACCAGAGGGACTTCGGAGTTGATGGAGGCATAATATGACTCCATCCACTCAGATCTGCTGTGCACGAGCATCCTGTGATTCAATTCATCTCTATGAGGAGATGCTGATTGGCCAGGGGTGTGTTTGACTCATGCTGGCTCTGCCCCTGATCTGCCTCCTTGTCAGTCTCAGCCAATCCTATGGGGAAGCATTGTGATTGGATCAGGCTATCACATGTCAGCAGACTGCTTGTTTTTCCTGAGTCTAACAGCATGCAGATTTACAGCTTCTGGCTTTAATACAGTAAGATTTTTACTATATTTATGGAGGCATGAAGGGCCCAGTGGGCTAGATGGTCATGTTAACACTATAGGGTCAGGAATACATGTAATTGCACTGGTGACTATAGTGTCCCTTTAAATACAGCCTCTACCGTTCATCCTATTCCGCAAATTCTAGCTTGTATATATAAACGTATCAATTTTCGCAGATCCCTCAACTATTTTCAGGACTTTCCCAGTGTGGTTTCCTTTGCAACTTTTCACCATTACTCATGCCCAGTTTCTGTTTGCCAGTGAGTTTCAAGATACTTTCCATGCCTCATTTTAATAACGTCCAAACCTCGTTTTAATACCATCCAAACCTCGTTAATGTCCAATCCTCATTTTAATAACGTCTAAACCTCGTTAATGTCCAAGCCTAATTTTAATAACGTCCAAACCTCATTTTAATACTATCCAAGGCTCATTTTAATAACGTTCAAACCTTGTGCTAATACTTTCCAAGCCTTGTTAATGTCCAAGCCTCATTTTAGTAAGTCCAAACCTCGTTTTAATACCATCCTAGCCTCGTCAATGTCCATACCTCATTTTAATAATGTAAAAACCTCTTATTAATAACATCCAAACCTTGTTTTAATACCATCCAAGTCTCGTCAATGTCCATACCTCATTTTAATAACGTTCAAAGCTCGTTTTAATACCATCCAAGCCTCGTCAATGCCCAAGCCTCATTTTAATAACATCCAAACCTCGTTAATGTCCAAGCCTCATTTTAATAACATCTGTGACGAGACCAATCTCACCACTGTGCATTGGAGAAGCCTGGTTGCTCGCCTGTTGCCTTTGGATTATGGCCCCATGTTGAAACGCTTGATTTTCCCCTGCAAAGACACGAAAGCCGGGTCATTTGGTGCTTGCCCTGTTTGAGCGGTGATACCCCAGATAGCTATGCCATGGAGTCCATTCGTATAATGAAAGACTATGGGAAAGACTTTGGCTCCATGGCAATTGAACTGTATGTGTGTGGTCTGAGTGCCATTCAGTAATAATGTGTGCTCAGACCTAAGCTATCTGGGGATATGTTGCATGTCTGTATTTTATGTAATAAATGTAACCTTGTGTATTTTATTGTATTTTACGGTCTTTTTACTGCCATGTGCTTAATGGAGTTTTGCCTCTGTCCTTGGAGATAATTGGATTACTTCCCAATTATCTCCAGGATAGAAGACTCTGTGGAACTGGTTTTGGGCAGAAAAGCCATGCTTCCTTTTGTCACAAAGGACTTCGATCTATCTTTTGAACCAATGGACCAATGTGGATGATTTTGACATGTTCGTATTTGGAGTATGCTGACTCTGAAAATGTGAATGTGATGCATACTTTTCAAGTTATGAATAATGTGGAAAAACTGTATTTCTCTGCCGGTGATAATTACATTACCCATTATGTAAGGTAATTGTATCACAGGCAGAGGGGAGGATTTTGTGTGGTAGTGTCTAAGTGTATTGTACATGTTTATTGGTTGTTTTCCAAAACCCTATGGGTGGTACTAATGTGAACATAAGAACAATAAACCCACAGCTCTGTCTGTTCACTGCTTGACCCTCAAAACAGAGCCTTGTCTCGTTCTTGGGGGGGATTTATTGTATGCTGTTCCAGTTTGACTGCTAGGAGTGTAAACCTATTCGTATGGTTTTTCCTATTCGGCTGTTTACGGCATTCATATGGTTTCCTGTTCGGCGGATTGGTGTTCTGCAGTAGCTGTGCCTGTGTCTCTGGAAGGGAAGATCTACTAAACGGCGGTTTAACCCTTTTATGCCTGGGGGTGCCGTTACAACGTCCAAATCTCGTTTTAATACCATCCAAGCCGTGTCATAATAACGTCGTTTTAATAACGTCTAAACCTCGTTTTAATAACATCCAAGCCTCGTTAATGTCCAAGCCTCGTTAATGTCCAAATTTCATTTTAATAACGTCCAAACCTTGTTAATATCCAAGCCTCATTTTAATAACGTCCAAACCTCGTTTTAATACCATCCGAGCCTCGTTAATGTCCAAGCCTCATTTTAATAACGTCCAAACCTCGTTGCAATACCATCCAAGCCTCGTTAATGTCCAAGCCTCATTTTAAGTAACGTCCAAACCTCGTTGCAATACCATCCAAGCCTCGTTAATGTCCAAGCCTCATTTTAAGTAACGTCCAAACTTCGTTTTAAGAACATCCAAGCCTCGTTAATGTCCAAGCATCATTTTAATAACGTCCAAACCTTGTTTTAATACCATCCAAGCCTCGTCAATGTCTAAGCCTCATTTTAATAACGTCCAAAGCTCGTTTTAATACCATCCAAGCCTTGTCAATGTCCAAGCCTTATTTTAATAACGTCCAAACTTCATTTTAATAATGACTAAACCTTGTTTTAATAACATCCAAGCCTCGTTAATGTCCAAGCCTCATTTTAATAATGTCCAAACCTCGTTTTAATACCATCCAAGCCTCGTTAATGTCCAAGCATCATTTTAATAATGTCCAAACCTCATTTTAATACCATCCAAGCCTCGTTAATGTCCAAGCCTTGTTTTAATAACATCCAAGCCTCGTTAATGTCCAAATTTCATTTTAATAACGTCCAAACCTTGTTAATATCCAAGCCTCATTTTAATAACGTCCAAACCTCCTTTTAATACCATCCAAGCCTCGTCAATGTCCAAGCCTCATTTTAATAACGTTCAAACCTCGTTTTAATACCATCCGAGCCTCGTTAATGTCCAAGCCTCATTTTAATAACGTCCAAACCTCGTTGCAATACCATCCAAGCCTCGTTAATGTCCAAGCCTCATTTTAAGTAACGTCCAAACTTCGTTTTAAGAACATCCAAGCCTCGTTAATGTCCAAGCATCATTTTAATAACGTCCAAACCTTGTTTTAATACCATCCAAGCCTCGTCAATGTCTAAGCCTCATTTTAATAACGTCCAAAGTTCGTTTTAATACCATCCAAGCCTTGTCAATGTCCAAGCCTTATTTTAATAACGTCCAAACTTCATTTTAATAACGACTAATCCTTGTTTTAATAACATCCAAGCCTCGTTAATGTCCAAGCCTCATTTTAATAATGTCCAAACCTCGTTTTAATACCATCCAAGCCTCGTTAATGTCCAAGCATCATTTTAATAATGTCCAAACCTCGTTTTAATACCATCCAAGCCTCGTTAATGTCCAAGCCTTGTTTTAATAACATCCAAGCCTCGTTAATGTCCAAATTTCATTTTAATAACGTCCAAACCTTGTTAATATCCAAGCCTCATTTTAATAACGTCCAAACCTCCTTTTAATACCATCCAAGCCTCGTCAATGTCCAAGCCTCATTTTAATAACGTTCAAACCTCGTTTTAATACCATCCAAGCCTCGTTAATGTCCAAGCCTCATTTTAATAACGTCCAAACCTCGTTGCAATACCATCCAAGCCTCGTTAATGTCCAAGCCTCATTTTAAGTAACGTCCAAACTTCGTTTTAAGAACATCCAAGCCTCGTTAATGTCCAAGCATCATTTTAATAACGTCCAAACCTTGTTTTAATACCATCCAAGCCTCGTCAATGTCTAAGCCTCATTTTAATAACGTCCAAAGCTCGTTTTAATACCATCCAAGCCTTGTCAATGTCCAAGCCTTATTTTAATAACGTCCAAACTTCGTTTTAATAACGACTAAACCTTGTTTTAATAACATCCAAGCCTCGTTAATGTCCAATCCTCATTTTAATAATGTCCAAACCTCGTTTTAATACCATCTAAGCCTCGTTAATGTCCAAGCATCATTTTAATAATGTCCAAACCTCGTTTTAATACCATCTAAGCCTTGTTAATGTCCAAACCTCGTTTTAATACTATCCAAGCCTCGTTAATGTCGTTAAACTGCATCATTCATAATTTAAATCCACACTTTTAAATGTCAACATCCCAACATCCCAAACCAAGCCTCGTTTCCATTTTCATTATTATTTGTGAAAATACATAAGGAAATGTTGGGATTACGCTGCTTTAAGTTGTTTCCTATGCTTGACAAAGCTTACGGCAAGCTCCACACTTTGTGAAGTTAAACCTTTCCAGCATACTTACCTGTGTGCCTCACCACTCAATTCTAAACTTGCGGCGCTCCAGTATCTTCAGATTAAACTATGCATGGATCTCCCTCTAGGACCCTGTATCTATCAGTCCTGCAGGGTTCCCAGGGCGGAATATCCAATTCCAGGTAGGCTTTATATCTAGGACCCTGTATCTATCAGTCCTGCAGGGTTCCAAGGACAGAAAATTCAATTACGGGTACGTTTTATATCTAGGACTCTGTGTCTATCAGTCATGTAGGTTCCCTGAGTAGAATATCTATATCCAGGTACGCTTTATATCTAGGACCCTGTATCTTTCTGTCGTGCAGCGTTCCCAGGGCAGAATATTCAATTCCAGATAAGCTTTATATCTAGGACCCTGTGTCTATCATTCCTGTAGGGTTCCCAGGGCAGAATATCCAATTCCAGGTAGGCTTTATATCTAGGACCCTGTATCTATCTGTACTGCAGAGTTCCCATTGTGGAATATCCAACTCCAGGTAAGCTTTCTATCAAGGACCCTGTATCTATCTGTCCTAAAGGGTTCCCAGTGCGGAATATCCAATTCCAGGTAGGCTTTATATCAAGAACCCTGTATCTATCTGTCCTACAGGGTTCCCAGGGCGGAATATCCAATTCCAGGTAGGCTTTATATCTAGGACCCTGTGTCTATCAGTCCTGCAGGAATCCCAGGGCGGAATATCCAATTCCAGGTAGGCTTTTTTATCTAGGACCCTGTATCTATCGGTCCTACAGTGTTCCCAGGGCAGAAAATTCAATTCCAGGTAAGCTTTATATCTAGGACCCTGTATCTATCAGTCCTGCAGGGTTCTCAGGGCAGAATATCCAATTCCAAGTATCTTTTATAGCTAGGACCCTGTATCTTTCTGTCCTGCAGCGTTCCCAGGGCAGAATATCCAATTCCAGATACGCTTTATATCTAGGACCCTGTATCTATCAGTCATGCAGGGTTACACAGTTACATAGCTGAAAAGAGACCTGCATCCATCAAGTTCAGCCTTCCTCACATTTGTTTTTTGCTGTTGATCCAAAAGAAGTAAAAAAATACCCAGTTTGAAGCACTTCCAATTTTGCAACAAACTAGGGGGAAAAAATTCCTTCTTGACCCCAGAATGGCAGTCAGATTTATCCTTGGATCAAGCAGTTATTACCCTACATTGAAAGATTATATCTTTGAATATTCTGTTTTTGCAAGTATGCATCTAGTAGCTGATTGAACATCTGTATGGACTCTGATAAAACCACTTCTTCAGGCAGAGAATTCCACATCCTGATTGTTCTTACAGTAAAAAAAACCTTCCCTTTGCCTTAGACGAAATCTTCTTTCTTCCAGTCTAAACGCATGGCCTCGTGTCCTATGTAAAGTCCGGTTTGTGAATAGATTTCCACACAATGGTTTGTATTGGCCCCGAATATATTTGTATAATGTTATCATATCCCTCTCAGGCGACGTTTTTCTAAACTAAATAGGTTTAAATTTGTTAACCTTTCTTCATAGCTGATATGTTCCATTCCTTTTATTAATTTTGTAGCCCGCCTCTGCACTTTTTCTAGTGCCATAATATCCTTCTTTAGAACAGGTGCCCAAAATTGCACAGTATATTCAATATGGGGTCTTACCAGTGATTTATAAAGAGGCAAAATTATATTCTTGTCCCGAGAATGAATGCCCTTTTTCATGCAGGACAATACCTTACTGGCCTTGGCCACTGCTGATTGACATTGCACATTGTTGCATAGTTTGTTGTCTATAACAATTCCCAAGTCCTTTTCATGTGTTGTTATCCCTAATTCGCTTCCATTAAGGGTATATGTTGCTTGTGTATTCTTTAAGCCGAAGTGCATAATTTTGCATTTTTCAACATTAAATTTCATCTGCCATTTGAGTGCCCAGTCCCCCAGTCTATCTAAATCCCTCTGCAGCAAAGTAATATCTTGCTCACATTGTATTATTTTACAGAGTTTAGAGTTTTGTGTCATCTGCAAAAACTGAAACATGACTTTCAATGCGGTCTTCAAGATCATTTATAAACATGTTAAATAGAAGGGGTCCCAGAACAGACCCCTGAGGGACACCACTTACCACCTCTGTCCAGCTTGAAAATGTACCATTAATGACAACTCTTTGTACTCTGTTTTTATGCTAATGTTCTACCCAAGAACAAGCATTTCCATCTACACCGATTTCCTTGAGTTTGAACACTAATCTGTTGTGTCTATTGTATCAAATGCCTTGGCAAAATCCAAATAGATCACATCCACTGCAACACCCTGATCTATACTTCTACTGACTTCTTCGTAGAACGCAATCAAGTTAGTTTGACATGACCTGTGCTTTATAAAACCATGTTCTTCTCAAGGAATTCTTGAATATTATCCCTTAATAACCAAATATTTTACCAGCCACAGAAGTTAAGCTCACAGGTCTATAATTTCCAGGCAAGGATTTTGAACCCTTTTTGAATATAGGAACCACATCTGCCTTCCTCCAATCCTCCGGAACACTTCCTGAAAGAAAAGAATCTTGAAAGATTAAAAACAGAGGTTCACTTATTTCTGCACTTAGTTCCTTAAGTACACGTGGATGGATACCGTCAGGCCCTGGAGCTTTGTTTATATTAACTTTCTTTAGTTGCTGCAGCACCTTGTCTTGAGTTAACAATTACAATTATTCTGCAAGTTTTTAGTAGCAATCATTTGCACATCTATTGCCATGGGTTCTTCCTTAATATATACGGAGGAGAAATAGTTATTTAAAATTCCTGCCTTTTCCTGGTCTTCATTAACTAACACCCCCGTTTCAGTTTTTAGTGTACCTACACTTTAATTTTTGTTTTTTTTAGAATTTATGTACTTAAAAAATGCTTTGGGGTTGGTTTTGCTCTCTTCAGCTATCATTATTTCATTTTGAAGTTTAGCAAGTCTAATTGCCTTTTTCCACGCATTATTTGCTTCCTTATATGTTTTATAAGATGCATCTGATTTGTCCAATTTAAATGCTTTAAATGCCCTTTTCTTATTTTTAATCTCTTGTTTTACTTCTCTACTAAGCCACATTGGTATCAATTTGTTTCTTTTATATTTATTTCCCAACGGTACATACTGAGAAATGTACCTTTCTAATATTTGTTGGAAGATGATCCATTTATCCTCAGTGTTCTTTTCACTAAAGAGTTTATGCCAGTCAATATATTGTAAAGCTTCCCTAAACTTATTGAAATTGGCCTTTTTAAAATTATATGTTTTAGTATTCCCCATGTGCTTTTGTTTTTTTGAGTTTATTTCAAAGGACACTATATTGTGATCACTATTTCCCAGCAGGAATATCCAATTCCAGTTAAGCTTTATATCTAGGACCCTGTATCTATCAGTACTGGAGGGTTCCCAGAGCAGAATATCCAATTCCAGGTAGGCTTTATATCTAGGACCCTGTATCTATCAGTACTGGAGTGTTCCCAGGGTGGGCTATCCAATTCCAGGTAAGCTTTATATCTAGGACCCTGTATCTATCAGTACTGGAGGGTTCCTAGGGCGGACTATCCAATTCCAGGTAAGCGTTATATCCAGGACCCTGTATCAATCAGTACTGGAGGGTTCCTAGGGCGGAATATCCAATTCCAGTTAAGCGTTATATCCAGGACCCTGTGTCTATCAGTATTGGAGAGTTCCTAGGGCGGAATATCCAATTCCAGGAAGGCTTTATATCTAGGACCCTGTATCTATCAGTACTGGAGGGTTCCTAGGGCGGAATATCCAATTCCAGGAAGGCTTTATATCTAGGACCCTGTATCTATCAGTACTGGAGGGTTCCTAGGGCGGGCTATCCAATTCCAGGTAGACTTTATATCTAGGACCCTGTATCTATCAGTCCTGGAGGGTTCCTAGGGCGGGCTATCCAATTCCAGGTAAGCTTTATATCTAGGACCCTGTATCTATCAGTACTGGAGGGTTCCCAGAGCAGAATATCCAATTCCAGGAAGGCTTTATATCTAGGACCCTGTATCTATCAGTATTGGAGGCTTCCCAGAGCAGAATATCCAATTCCAGGAAGGCTTTATATCTAGGACCCTGTATCTATCAGTACTGGAGGGTTCCTAGGGCGGAATATCCAATTCCAGGAAGGCTTTATATCTAGGACCCTGTATCAATCAGTACTGGAGTGTTCCTAGGGCGGAATATCCAATTCCAGGAAGGCTTTATATCTAGGACCCTGTATCTATCAGTACTGGAGGCTTCCCAGAGCAGAATATCCAATTCCAGGAAGGCTTTATATCTAGGACCCTGTATCTATCAGTCCTGGAGTGTTCCCAGGGTGGAATATCCAATTCCAAGTAAGCTTTATAAACAGGACTGTTTTAGTGGGCTGCAGTGATTCTTCCAAGCATTTATTGGAAGTCCAATCTTAACGTAATTTATTGTCTCATCAGATAAGGGCTTTATTTAAATGAAATCCTAACATTTTCATACTTATTAGTCTTGCCAAAATAAGACTAAACTACATGTTCTTATTGTCACGAAAACAGTATTATTAGTGCATCCTCTATGTTTATTAAATCCTCTCTGCACCCAGTAATGACACAGTGTCTTCAGTGTAGTTAACGTTGAAGATTCCCATTTTATAATAAAGTGACCAATCACCATCAATACGCACAGCGCAGCAAACACCATTAAAACAGGAAAATAACTTTCTTAGTGGAATCACGGTCTGGGGGCAGTTAGCAAAAGATATCCAGCAAAGCCCCAATCAGGACAAACACAGCCTTAAAACTACATTTTGATCTGACAGTAATTTTCCATTTTTACATCATTCTCACAAATGGCCAGTAAACATATAGATTAACGGGGAAAAATAAAAACCCTGCCCTGCAATTAGGCTCAGAGCACTCTGGTTGGTGTGTTTAAGCCATCCAATCAGAGTGCTCTGCGTCATTTTACACAGCGTGACAAGTAAGTCTCTATATTTACCTGTCACAGCACTCTGGTTAGCTTGAAATCCACCAATCAGAGTGCTCTGCGTCATTTTACACAGCGTGGGAAAGTTCTTTGGGATTTTCCCATGCTGTGTAATTTGACTCATAACTCTCTGATTGGTTACTTTCAATCAACCAATCAGAGTGTTATGAGTCAAGTTACACAGCGTGGGAAAATTCCAAAGAACTTTCCCACGCTGTGTAAAATGACACAGAGCACTCTGATTGGTGGATTTCAAGCTGACCAACCAGAGTGCTGTGACAGGTAAATGTAAAGACTTACCTGTCAGAGCACTCTGATTGGATGGCTTAAACCACAGTGCTCTGAGCCTAATTGTAGGGCGGGGCAAATCTTTATAAGCCTTCCCCCGCCCTGTGGAGCTCAGACTGCGCAGTGCCCTCAATGGGTGAACATGAATTATTTTTCAGCATCTGGGTTTTTTTTTTTGGCGCTCAGGTTTTTTTTTGGTTTTTTTTTGGTTTTTTTTAAGTGCGATGGTTATTATGGATTTTTATTTGGCCTTTTTTGGGGCTGAAAAAAGAAGACATCAAATGGTAAGTTTTAATTATTTTTTTTACAGGTACTTAGTTATTGGTCCCCCTTTATCATTTTTAGGGTGAGGGGGGTAGGTAGGGGTTTATTAATTTTGTTGGGAGGGAGGTGACTAGGGGTTTGGGGACCCCTAGTCACCTGGGGGGGAGGTTACATTTTTATTTAGGGCCTGCATCCACCACTCAGGGGTGGGGGCAGGACAATAGGACAATCCCCCCCACCCTTATTGGTATTTATGGCCCTAACCCACCACTCAGGGATGGGGGTAAGGGGGGAGGACCATAGGTCCCCCCCTTATTCTAATTTAGGGCCCCCACCCACCACAGGCTGTTTACTAGACATGCCCCTACTCGCGGTATGGCGAGTAGGGGCAGAATTTACTAATACTAAGTAATCTTTACTTAGTTTTAGTAAATTTGGATGAAAGACCAATTTAGGTCTTTCAGCCTTTTAGTAGATAGCTCCCTAATACCGTGGGAATTAGGGAGTTATCTACTTATTCATTCCTGTCATTACATTGACAGGCTAAGTAACTTACATTTTATATGAATGTCTGTTACTTGATTGTTGGAAGTGTTGCAAATGCTTACAACTGAATCCTGGCTATGTTTGTATACTTTTTATTTAAACTGGTATACAGTGTAACATTCTTCCCCTGGGTATATTAGTACTTGGGCAATACTGTGCTTCAGAACTTCAGCAATTTAACTATTTGGACATTCGGAAGTATCCGAATGTTCGAATTGCCCGAAATTCATCCGAATTGACATTCGGAATGAAACGAACTGCACATGTCTAGTTTCCTATGCACGATCCCAAATTAAAGTGTAAGCTTCCCTGCCACATCAAGGTAAGACCTCTTAGTTAATTCCTTCACTAACAATTCGCCTTGCTGCTTTTAGCTAAAAGGCAAAATCTCTTATATAAGGGGATATTTTTCTGAACCCTCCCCACTTATTAACCCATAATAGGGAACACATGCAGTGGGCAGGTGAGCTTACACTTTAATTGCCTTTGGAGTGATACTAAAAAGAAAAAAAAATCAGTTGTTTAAATGTCTTAGGGATTTGGGATAGTGCTTATGTAACTTTTATGGTGGGATTATTCTATGTATCGGGGATGATGTGTACTATAGTCTTTGCTCAGCCCAGGTGTTGTGAGAGTTTAAGCACATAGCTTAATTTTGTGTATTTGTATTGGATTTTGCATTACACAGCCATGCTAACCTGTAATCGGTCTCAAGAGGAAAGCACTCTTGGAAATGCTACAAAGGATGCTGGGTAAGATGCAAAAACATATTAAGCTCCTGGGCAGATCGGCCAGTGAAACTGGACATGGAGTCCAAAATGAATCATCCTGTAGTGTGGACATTGGTCATGTCAATAAGCATGGCCGTGTTCTTCTAACGTAGATGATGCACTTTAAGTGGGAATATCACGATCCTAGTTTGTTATGCTCAGGGTGACACAGCATTAAATGAAACCAGTCAATAAATCATTGCGCTGTGAGTTAGCGCACTTCGTTTCAGATGTCACATCCAGCAATCTGCAAATTCGTTCAGCATTCTCAGTATTAGGATAAGGAAACGATGATTTAATCGAGCCAGATAAGAGGAACTGAGCTTGATGATTTATTAAGTTACATAATATTTAGCTTTGGAATTCACAAGCGACACACCGTCTATCTAAAATCAACACGTTGCACTTATTTATTTCTCATTGCTTGCAGTCAATGTGTATCAGTCATAAAAGGATCATAAACGTCCTGATAAGTTTTGTGAGTAATCAATGGCCTGACACCGGAAAATCTAAATCCGAGCACGCCTTCCACTCCGCATTATAAAAGAAAGCTAATTCTACATCAAGCTGTTGTGGCATCTCAACAGGGCTCCCATCGCCAACTCCAACAACAAATGGCATCTCAGACGGACCTCATCCACATCTTTAATGGAATTCCATTCACCTCCCGATCCTCAGCCGATCTGCTGAAAGCCTTAAACTCCTTCCAGGCTAGAGAAGACGATTTGCTCCTGGTATCTTATCCAAAGTCTGGTAAATATTAATACTTCTATAGCGCCAAAATATTCTGCAGCGCTTTACAATTATAAAATGGGGATTTTGGACAACAGTTATTTTAAAAACAGAATATAACACAAACAAGAGGTGAAAAATACCCCGCTCTAACAAGCTTACAGTCTAATCGTTGACATCACTGTTTTAATTCAAGTTGTACAATTTATTACTTCTATCCAATTTACAGAATCACATACAAGATGTTAATTTAGTCGAAAGCCACTGATTCGGGTTGACGAGGGGGTCTCCATTTCGTTTGTTTTTATAAAATGTTGATTTAAAGGTTTGCTCTGTTAAAGTTTGTATGTGGCTATGGTACAAAATCCCTGCCGCAGAAAATAATATAAAAGGACACAGATAATTATTAGATGAGAGCAACCAAGGGCACAAACACTTCACAATGACATGTTATCTGCAGTAAAGGAAAGACATATCTGTGAGATAATTGTGACTGGATTTATTTTTCGGTGTGGAAATGAATCTCTGGTAAAGAAATAAAATATTTTCATAAAGCAAAAAGAGAGAAGAGAAAGCCCGTAGGTAAAATGAATAAAAGCGGCTTACTGACATTCAATATAACTACTTCTAAATAAAATAAGCCGACAGCGAGTTCATCATCACCAATGCCACCATTTACTGATCCACCAATATGTGAACGAGCCGGTTCTAAAGATTTCACTGTTTTTACCAGTTTGAAGAGATTCTATCTGGTAATGCCTCCCTTGCTTAATGGCACCCGGTCACTACTGCTATGGGTTAATAGGTTTTATATTAACATAGGGACTTCAGGGACCATACTGTGATGACAGCGTGAAACATCATTGGTCCGTAAGGGTTAACATACTGTTTTAAACCAATTCCAGGCACTCACTGGTTGGCAGAGATCATGAAGCATCTCTATACATCGAAAGTTTCCCTGACGTCCCCTATCGAGTTTGGAGACGTTTCCAAACTGGAAGAGTTGAGTCACATCCCCTCGAGAAGGATCATCCCTACTCATCTGAGCTACGACATGTTACCTACAGAATTTAAGGTCAAGAAATGCAAGGTGAGCCCAATATAAAACAGCACCAAAATACATTGGGAAAAGGAGTCATCCCAAAACAGAGACAACAAGAATATCCCTTCCTTGCCCTAACAAAAACCCTCATCAACCTCACCTCTCTGAATCTGCCTTCATTATCAGCCCCTCTCCATAAAGATTATCCTTTCGCCATCTCACCAGATTGCAAGCACACAAGATCAGCTCTTAAGACTATATGGCCAGTGAAAAACAATGATATTTTCTGTTTGTCATATTTTACCCTGCTTAGCGTAATGAGACCTACATGCAAAACCTTATAAAACACAAATAAACCATTAATAACCATTTCTGAAAAGGCACATTTATATAAGTATTAAAAGTAATGTTGTGTAGGGGTTAATGTTTAGTGTAGAGTAGTGTATCAGTATAGGGTTAATGTTTAGTGATAGTGAAGTGTATCAGTATAGGGGTTAATGTTTAGTGATAGTGAAGTGTATCAGTATAAGGGTTAATGTTTAGTGATAGTGAAGTGTATCAGTATAAGGGTTAATGTTTAGTGTAGAGTCGTGTATCAGTATAGGGGTTAATGTTTAGTGTAGAGTCGTGTATCAGTATAGGGGTTAATGTTTAGTGATAGTGAAGTGTATCAGTATAGGGGTTAATGTTTAGTGTAGAGTAGTGTATCAGTATAAGGGTTAATGTTTAGTGTAGAGTTGTGTATCTGTATAAGGGGTTAATGTTTAGTGAAGAGTAGTGTATCAGTATAGGGTTAATGTTTAGAATAGAGTAGTGTATCAGTATAGGGTTAATGTTTAGTGATAGTGAAGTGTATCAGTATAAGGGTTAATGTTTAGTGTAGAGTCGTGTATCAGTATAGGGGTTAATGTTTAGTGTAGAGTCGTGTATCAGTATAGGGGTTAATGTTTAGTGATAGTGAAGTGTATCAGTATAGGGTTAATGTTTAGTGATAGTGAAGTGTATCAGTATAAGGGTTAATGTTTAGTGTAGAGTCGTGTATCAGTATAGGGGTTAATGTTTAGTGTAGAGTCGTGTATCAGTATAGGGGTTAATGTTTAGTGATAGTGAAGTGTATCAGTATAGGGGTTAATGTTTAGTGTAGAGTAGTGTATCAGTATAAGGGTTAATGTTTAGTGTAGAGTTGTGTATCTGTATAAGGGGTTAATGTTTAGTGAAGAGTAGTGTATCAGTATAGGGTTAATGTTTAGAATAGAGTAGTGTATCAGTATAGGGGTTAATGTTTAGTGTAGAGTAGTGTATCAGTATAGGGGTTAATGTTTAGTGTAGAGTAGTGTATCAGTATAGGGGTTAATGCTTAGTGTAGAGTAGTGCGTCAGTATAAGGGGTTAATGTTTAGTGTAGTGTAGTGTATCAATATAGGGGGTTAATGTTTAGTGTAGAGTAGTGTATCAGTATAGGGGTTAATGTTTAGAATAGTGTATCAGTATAGGGGTTAATGTTTAGTGTAGATTAGTGTATCAGTATAAGGGTTAATGTTTAGTGTAGAGTAGTGTATCAGTATATAAGTTAATGTTTAGTGTAGAGTAGTGTATCCGTATAGGTGTTAGTTTAATGTAGAGTAGTGTATCAGTATAGGGGTTAGTGTTTAGTGCAGTCTAGTGAAGAGTAATGTGTTCGTGTAGAATAGTGAATCAGTATAAGGGTTAAGGTTTAGTGTAGAGTAGTGTATCAGTATAAGGGTTAATGTTTAGTGCAGAGTAGTGGATCAGTATAGGTGTTAATGTTTAATGTAGAGTAGTGTATCAGTATAGGGGTTAGTGTTTAGTGCAGTCTAGTGAAGAGTAATGTGTTCGTGAAGGGGTTAATCTTTAGAGCAGTGTATTGGGGTAGTGTAGGGGTTCATGTGAAGTATTTTAGAGTAATGAAGGAATTAATGTGTAGTGTAGGGGTTATGAAGATGAATGTCATAGATACATAAAGTCCCAGTGCTGCCTGAGATTAGTGTGAGTTGCAGGGACATGTATGCCCCCCTAATATTCAGTGATACATTATCAGTGCAGTTTAACCTTTCATTGTTTTTTCAGGCGATTTACATCGTCCGGAACCCCAAAGATACCGCAGTCTCTTTGTTTCACTATTACAGAGAGAACCCCAATCTCCCAACCATCGAGACCTGGCAGAGTTACTTTGACATGTTCCTGCGAGGAGAGGGTGAGGATAAGCAGAAATATACAGCATTTGTTCTATAGACCGTATTTATTTAAATCAAATCTAAAATAATTTATTTTTTATTACCAATTTAAACTAAAATATTTTTATAGAAAATTACAAAAGTAAATAAAGATCAGTGAAGTCAAGTGAGTTTCCCAAAAAATTATTCCTCTAAATGTATACTATTTTTTAATAATTTAAATTGTATTAAAAAATATGTTACTCTCTAAATTAACCTAAGCAGAGAAGTAATTACATTTTAAAGACACGTTATCTGCCAGCTGGTGATTTAGAAAGCTTGTCAGTGTACTAGATTCTAGGAATTACCCTTTATTTAGCAGTTTGAGGTACAGTAATGGGGATCAGATTGCGCCTATAGGTCTTATATAGGGGCTTTGTAGGGCAAAGTTCTCTCTCCACTTCCAGTTTACACAGACATGATGATGTCCTTTCATCAACCTTTATCAGAATGATTAGCCAAGCTGATCATTATAGCAACCACTTTCTCCTGGAGAATTTATGGTCCAGGTAAATAGGGGTGATACAGGAAACCTGCTGTACGTTAGATAAGATAAGCGTGCAAACAATCCATGCACATGTTAAGCAATGTAATGTTCACAGATACAATCACTTAATTCATTCTTTGTGCAATGTCCCAATTCTAGCATTGTAGTGTTAATTTTAATTTAATAATATTTACACATGCACATTTAATGTGTAGACATTTTTCAGGTGAGATCATGTAGGTTTATTGTAACTTACTGTAAATAGTTTACATATATTTCAGTAAGATTCTGTGGCTGAATATATGTATGACACATGTTTACATTTGTAGTTGTGTGCGGATCTTGGTTCGATCACATCTTGAGCTGGGAAGAGCACAGAAATGAAATACCCACTCTCTTTTTGTATTATGAAGCAATGAAAAAGGTAAGATTATTACAATGGAATGGGAAAGAGTTTCTGAATTAGGTTAATTCAGCAATCACTGAATTGTGGAGCCTTGAAAGCGGAGTTAAAAAAGACATTGTCTAATTCACCAATATTCCCATTGTGAAATTCAGTTCATTAGGTAATGGATATATATCTTCCAGAGTTATTCGATAACGTCTTATATTCATCCCAGAATTTCCCTTATTTGCAGGAAGTCAGCATTTTCTGCAGTGACCTATAAATGGCTGCAATTTCTCAGCCAATCAAAAGCAATAACCCTCCCACCCCCACCCTGCGCTGTAGCTAAACTCAAGAGAAAGACCATTCTGCTTATTCCTTTAAATAACTATTAACCTACATTACCTGACAATTTATCCTGGCTACTCTCTACATTATCTGTCACACTGTCCCTTTAAATTACTTTTACATTACTAGTAGCCTTGTCCTTTTAAGTGACTATTACTTACAATATCAATTGCCTTGTCCCCTTAAGTGACTATTATCCTTATTACCTGTGTAGGACCTCCCCAAAGCTGTAAGAAAAATTAGCACCTTCCTCGGAATAAATATCAGCGATAATGAGATCAGCGTAATCTGCAAAAAGACATCATTCAATGAGATGAAAATGAACGTAGAGAAAGATAACGGTGACCCAAACCACACGGTCTGCGCCCTGACATCCAACAAAAAGCTGATATTCAGAAAAGGTAAGGGATTGGCTCATCTTATGCGCTCTCCCCTGCAAGAAGCACGTTCCTAATTAACTCCGGAAAAGGAACTGGTTAAATTATCTGTACAAAGTAGGCTTACTTAAATCAGTATTTTAGGCATGCAAGGATTCAGAATTGTTTTTATGTTTCTTATCAAAGTTAAGACAGTATTGCTACTGGGACAGGTATTCTGTTTATGTAGCAGACGTTATAAAAGCCAACATTTTTAATAGCTTTTTGGTCTATAAACTGGAAGCTCGCATGATTCTGTGTATGAGCAGTAAAAACAAGCTTGTAGGTGAGAAGGAGGAAATGGCAGCTCAGGAATAGCATGATAGGGTACGAGGAAGACCCATGAAGACTGGATGGTATCAATCAAGATGGCAAGGGAATGCATGTGTGAACAAATTCTTAGATGGCAGGTTCGAAAGAATGAAATTGTTATTTGCTTCTGGTGATTGTTTGAAGGAAAAGCAGCTTGTCGTTACCTAAATTGAAAATAACTTTCTAGAAGAAAGGTAGAACTTATACAGCTATTTCATAAAATAAAATAATAATCTTGCTTTACATCTTTACAGGAACAGTTGGCGACTGGAAGAATTACTTTTCAAACAGACAGAACCGACTCTTCGATGAGCTGTACCAAACAAAGATGGATTCCAGCCACCTGGCCAAGCACATCACCTACGATAACTGAGCAATGTCTTTAACAACGCCAAATAAACGCCAAGCAAGATCTGTAATCACAAAGGAGGAGAGAGACATTACTGTGGCTCCAGCGGCCAGGAAACATCACTGGAGCCAGAACTAGAGCGATTTAAAAATAGCCATATTGTCAACACCTGCACCTCCATCCATATCAGGAGAGGCAGAGGGTCAGCATGAAACAGTACAAGATTTGTAAAAATAGTTCCTCCAGGTAAACGAGTTTCACAGGTAGCACTTCCTGCTCGCCTAACACATCTAAGGTTATGGACAAAGAGGTCTTCTGAAAAATGGTGCAAACATGGAGAAGAGGTGGAATCACCAACGGGACTTGCCTGCTGGCACCACTGATTTCCATGGTGACCTCACTTATGTATTTACACACTGTCTACACCTAACTCACAATGTAATCACATGGTAATCTGTATTGTAATATACATTTTGTAATCACAATAGTAAATACAATGATAGTGAATTACCGGGTTTGGTCTCACCATAATCCTTTTTGCTAACTGGCTGCACGCTAGGAGACTCCAACTCCAGACCAGAACCGGCACCACGCTGATGAGACCCACAAGGTTGATACTGCCACCCACGGCTGGTTTCTGGTCACTGGTCCTTTTGGATCACTGCCCGTGCTTTGGTTTACAAATAGCTGTGTAAACCAGTGTCCATTGCTACGGGTATCTTAGTAAAAATGTAGTATGAAGTCTGAAACACCATGTCTGCCTGTCCCAATTTCACGTCAAGCTTGGAATTCTGGGATAGTTGTGGAATCATGACTTCTCGACTTTGTGTAACCATAGAGTACTGCTCAAAGCCAATGTGAGATGTTCAGATGATGCACAGCAGTAGTGTGTGTGTGTATATATGTAAAAAACCGATAAAATTCTTATCTTGTAATACCTTTTTTATTGGACTAACAGAATTTTTTAATGACAAGCTGTCGGGAGAACCTCCCTTTCTCAAGATTGAAGCATTTCTGACCAAACGACCCATAGAATTCAAAGTTGAGTTGTGATACAGGGGTTAAAGTGACATGAGTGTAGATAAGACACAGGTTTGTTAGCAAATAGACACCATCTTAGCAGAGGGTCTCATGCTACCACTAGGGTGAAAGCACCGCCAGCATTCAAAAGTGACCAAAATATCAGCCAGGAAGCATAGGAACTGAGAAGTGGTCTGTGGTCACCACCTGCAGAACCACTCCTTTATTGGGGGTGTCTTGCTAATTGCCTATAATTTCCACCTGTTGTCTATCCCATTTGCACAACAGCATAAATGACCATTCTTGTAAGCAGAGCTTAGTAGCCCATTAGATGCTAATAAACTAGCATCGACCAATAATGTCACTATTTGTCTTAATTTACAGGAACAGGGTTTTTACAACTTGAATGAGATGGCTCAAGACACAGCATAAAGTGACATTATAGGAACCACTGTATCTTAATGAAGCAGTTTTGGTGTATAGATCATGCCCCTGCAGTCTAATTTCTCAATTCTCTGCCATTTAGGAGTTAAATCACTTTTATTTCTGTTTATGCAGCCCTAGCCACACCTCCCCTGCATGTGACTGACACAGCCTGCATGAAAAGAAATGGTTTCAATAAGAGGTTAGCCTGCTTTAGAAGTGTATCTCCTGCTCTGTAAATTGAACTTTAATCATATAATGGGGGCTCCTGCAGGGTCTAGAAGGCTATTCGTACAGAGATAATTTTTTTTTCCTTCTAATTTAAGCATCACAATGTGAAGCAAGTTTAAACATTAGATCTCTCCTTACAGGCAGTGTGTAAGAAGACTGTGAGTCAGAGCAAGGGGAGGTGTGACTTGGGCTGCATAAACAAAAAGTCATTTACGCCCTAAATGACAGAGAATTAAGCAGTGAGATTGCAGGGGCCTGATTTATACACTAAAACTGCTTTATTAAGTTAAAGTTGTTATTGTGCTTATAGTGAAATTTAAACTTCTCTGGAATTTATCCCATTTAATAAACAACTAAAAATCACCTATAACCAGTGTAAACCATATTTTTCAATAGAATTTCCATTTTCTTTTAAATTTAAAAGTTTTAGCAAATGTTATAATCCCATTGAGACAAGGCACAGCCAGGGCACACATTGCAAATGAAGAGAGAAGACAAACATTGTTTCATTTCTCCTCCTCTCTCTTTCTAGGCTGACTGCCAGGTGTAAAGGGCAGAGCTTACAACAATGATTGACAGGGAGCTAAGATGGAGGCGGCTCTCTCTATACTGACTGCCAGGAGCAAGGGGCGGAACTTATAATAATGATTGACAGGGAGCTAAGATAGAGGTGTCCAGTTAAAGGATTAAGAGATGTGAGTTTTTACATTTCATTCCATTCCTCAGGTCTCAAATACACTTGTTAAACATAGGGATATGTAAGACAGTTTCCCTTTAAATTACATTTAGAAAATCTCACTTAATCTGCACAAATCCGCTCTCACCTGACAGGTGAGGATTATGAATACAGTGTAATTGTACAGTTTCTGATGTCATTATTAACACCCAGTTAGTTTATCAGAATACAATAAACCTGCAGTGAGAACGGAAAGGACACCGTAATGTTTATTCACAAACCTCCAAACGGCAGCAAATGTAAATCTGAATAGAACAGTTTAGGCTGAAATAGAACATTTGTTCAATTTTGTTAAAGTCAAAACTCGACCATATCGGTCTAAATATTCCAACTCAGATTTCAATCAGCTCAGAGTTTACAGGACACGATTCCCATGTATCAAGTCATTATAAATAATACCTTAACACAAAATCACGGTCTACAGACTGCAAGATTATTACCTAGTTAATAGCGTCCATCAAGTTCAGCCTTCCTCACATATGTTTTTACTGTTGATCCAAAAGCAGGCAAAACATTTTTTTTAACCTTTCTTCGAAACTAAAATGTTCCATTCCTTTTATCAATTTAGCTCGTCTCTGCACTTTTTCTAGTGCCATGATAGCCTTCTTTAGAACAGGTGCCCAAAATTGCACAGCATATTCAAGGTGTGGTCTTACCAGCGATTTATAAAGAGGCAAAATTATATTTTCATCCCGAGAATTTATGCCCCTATTTATACGTGACAAAACCTTACTGGCTTTAGCAACTGCCGATTGACATTGCATATTGCTGCCTAATTTGTTGTCTATGACAATTCTCAAATCCTTCTCGTGTGTGGTTATCCCTAATTCACTACCATTTAGGGTGTAAGTTGCTTGTGCATAACTTTGCATTTCTCTACGTTAAATTTCATCTGCCATTTGAGTGCCCAGTCCCCCAATCTAAATCACTACGCAGAAAAGCAATATCCTCCTCACATTTTATTACTTTACAAAGTTTTGTGTCACTTACAAACACTAAAACATGGATTTCAATGCCTATTGCAAGATCATTTATAAATATGTTAAACCGAAGCGGTCCCAGAACAGAACCCTGAGGGACACCACTTACCACTTTCGTCCAGCCTGAAAATTTACCATTAATGACAACTCGTTATACTCTATCCTTAAGCCAATGTTTTGCCCAAGAACAAGAATATTCATCTAGACCAATTTCTTTAAGTTTGAAGACTAACCTATTGTGAGGAACCGAATCAAATGCCTTGGCAAAATCCAAGATGATCACATCCACTGCAACAGCCTGATCTATACTTCTACTTCTTCGTAGAATGCAGTTAGGTTAGTTTGACATAACCTATGTTTCAAAAAACCATGCTGATTATTGCTAATAAAGTTCTTCCCAACGAATTCCTGAATATTATCCCTTATTAGCCCTTCAAATATTTTCCCAGTCACAGAAGTTAAGCTCACAGGTCTATAATTTCTAGGTAAGGATTTTGAACCCTTTTTAAATATAGAAACGACATCTGCCTTCCTCCAGTCCTCCGGTACAATACCGGAAACAAAAGAATCTTGAAAGATTAAATACAGTTCACGTATTTTCCACTTAGCAACTTAAGTACTCGTGGGTGAATACAGTCCGGCCCCAGAGGTTTATTTACATTAAATTTTCTTTAACAGCTGTAGCACCTTGTCTCAAACCATCCAATCACAAGTTATCTGCAAGTTTTTTGCAGCAATCATTTGCATATCTCTTGCCACGGGATCTTCATAAATATATACATATTAATATGTATGTACATATATAATATATGTACGTACTTGAAAAAATAAATTGGGGTTGGTTTTGCATTATTTGGCTATCAAGGTCTCATTTTCTAGATTAGCCACTTTAATTGCCTTTTCTGCAAGTATTGTTGGCTTCCTTATATCTTATATAGGATGCCTCTGATTTGTCTGATTTAAATGCTTTAAATGCCCTTTTCTTATTTTTAATCTCGTTTTACTTCTCTACTAAGCCACATTGGTTTCAATTTGTTACAGTGAACAGATTAAATAGAAAGTGATCTGACTGGTGTTCTGTGTCACAGCAAAGCCGTTATACCCACAGACTGCAAGCTTATTACAGTGACCAAATTAAATACAAAGTTATATTCTGAAACAGAGTGACCTGACTGGTGTCCTATGTCAAAGAATAGCCGTTATACCCACAGACTGCAAGCTTATTACAGTGAACAGAATAGAAAGTGACCGGACTGGTGTCCTGTGGCAAAGCAAAGCAGTTATACCCACAGGCATCTAAACACCATGTAGGACTCTGTACCTTTGTTCTTATTGCTGGGCTAAGACGACATCTTCCTTCATAGAGTCTTAATTTAATTCACAATTACTGTATGTGTAGATGTGAATGTGTCCTTTATAGTACATAGTAAATAGTTACAGTCATTTTTAAAGATGGTCAATAAATCTATATTTCTAGCTACTAAAACATTTTTTGTCTCCTGTTTTGCATAACGTTAGTTTATTTAATAATCTTGTTCTCTAACTTAATAAAGAGCAGACAGCTTCCAGCACCGCAGCAAATTTATTTCCGCTCAATCAACTATTGCACCAATTTCATACATTGTCTCAGAAAATGAAAATGTGCTGAATAAAAATCAAATCAATGACAGGATAATAAAAAGCATAGAAAAATGACACAATAACACTATGATTACAACATCGGTAAACTTGCAGACACCACAAGAATATAAAGTCATTTCAAAAATGGTAAACAAAATTCCTATTCATAACACATGAAGACGAGAGGTTCGAAGAGATTTGGATCAGGTTCCTGGTGCTTGACTTTTAGGGAACTCATCACTGAACAGGAAAGGAATCCAACGGTTAAACAGAATAAAATGTCACAAACAAAATACACCTTTTATTGCCCGTTTATATCTTTTATCAGGGTTTTACCTGGTCATTTATCTGGGTGCCCTCAACGTATCTAGAGCCAAGCAGTTGGAGACAGGACTGCTCTCATTGGATGAGTGCTCACTTAAGTGGCCCTGCACAGCTGAGTGGAGCTAAAGAGTTTCTACTTTCAGGAGAGCGGAGTAGAAGCAGATCAAGGAGATGCACGATACTGGCGGCTCATCGCTATCGCAACTTTCCATGGCTTTGGTCAAAAGGAGGATTCCTATTGGTTACTTAATATGTACAATAAATAAATGTAGAAATCATAAACCCTCTACACATTTCCTAAAGCACTTTGAGAATGACAGAAACTTTAAATATCGGAAAACATTGGTAAACAAATACTCTAAAATCTGCAAATTAAAAGAAAATCACAATTAAATGTCCCATGATCTGTTACAGAGAAACTCAAAGAATGTAAACATAAGACACAAGAATCGCGGGGTAAACATTCAAAATTAATCTCCTATCATTAAAATATAAATAAAATATACACCAATTGGCAAGCTGCTGCACAGGCCTTCAATCTATAATGAAGTCTTTAAATTTTGAAGTATCTTTTTACCAATGAATATGACGTTCTAACATAGCAATAGCACAATTTTATATTAATTCCCGGGGAGGGGTATTTGGACTAAGAAACCGATTTTACAACGGTTTTATTCCACGATCAGTAACTCTGGCTATAAATCCTTTCTATACGAAATAATAAAATACCATATTAGCCAAAGGACACAAAGCACTGCAAACATTTAAGCTCATTATTGTTGATATGGTTCTATGAATCTGTGTTTGGTGCTCATACGATCTGACGTAAGATGGGCTGCATTAACTAGCTCTGCAAGGCATCACTACACATAACCAATGTGTGACAAATGGATAAATCGCACAACGGGTTATTAAACAGAACATTACCCAAACAATCCAATGAGATTATCAGAGCAGAGGACAAAATCACTGTGTCGCAAAGCAAGTTAACTCCTATCACAAGCAAACCATGGTCGATGGATATCCATGTAATTAGGGTGTTCGGTGCACAGCCGACCCTGCAGCTTTTCTATCATCACTAACCCAAACGCCTGTCACACACAAGACTTTATCACTCACTTTTTAAATGTTAATTTTAAGTGAATTCTTGATGGAAAAGATGCAGAATTCTCTGAACCCTACAACCAACATCTCTTGTTCTGCCAGACGCTTGTGCTGCCAAGCTCCTGTGGGTTATCATTCATGATAAAAAAAATTCCCATTAGGAAAACAGAACATTCACTTTTATCACTCAGAACATTAAAAATACTCCAGATTGGAATTGACATCTTAGGTTGAAAAGGAATTCAAAAAAAGAGAAAGAAAAAGGATTCTACAGGGTACAGGACATGACAGATCTCCAAGTCAGGGATTGCAGATGTATATTCCATCAATTCTGTTTAGGAATATTCAGCCCAAGAGTTTAACCTGTAAAAGCAACATGAACTCAATTTGGACAATAGCCTAATGTATGTTTTTAGCATAAATTAAGCTATTTGTGGAAACGTGTAGAATTTTTGCAGTTTAGCTCATAGAAAGTGATTTCAGATGAGTAACGCCATCCGATACAGGAGACTCTGTGCTAGAACCCAATACAGTGAGCGTAAACGGTTACAGTGCTTAAAGCAAACTGTTAAAATGTTTAAAATCATTGCACTATTCAATATAAAAGGCCTGCACAAGCCATTAACTGTGTAAACTGAATAATCTAACTTACAATCAGAATATATCCCCCACATAGACTAAGCGGGTGTAGCACCTCACCAATTGAGTGACCAGTCTGATTAAATAATATATAGCAGCTTTCAGGAGACCGTCTGTCTGCAGTGTTACCTATTCCATACTGAAAACTGTAGACAAAATAATCCGTATACTCTGCAGGAGCAGCGGGGAAGCACAGGATATAAATCCAGACAGAAAGATTGTTTGCTGCAGATAAACCCAAGCACATGGGACCTCATTATTCTGGATCCCAGCTTAGATAAAAGCAGCCGTTGTGATTGATCAGTCAGATGGAAATGGTTTCCTACTTGCTACCACAGAGGAACTTTGCTAAATTAGTGACTTCCTAGGTTTTCCAAGAGAGAGATGATGTGCTCTGCAAACTCCAGAATGGCTCCGTATCCTCCGCCGTATTTACAGACAAAGCTATCAGTCATCTTAGCCGCCACACATGCATCCGCTGGGACGCCACTGGTGCCAGCCAGTTTCAGGCATTCCACGTCAGAATACTGGCATCCTGTATCGAAGACAAACAGAAAAATAGTGATATTTACAGAATATAGTGGAGCAAGCTCATCATCTAGCTGCAGGTACAATAATGCCATTATTATTTTAGACTCTGGCAGACAAAGGACATGTGTAGCTGTAAGCAGAAGGACTGCTGTAAACATTTACAACAAACGGCTGGAAGAAACACAAGGCCAGATGGTCAACACAGAGAAAGGCATGGACATCCTGGGCACTGATTGAATGGGGGTGAAGTGGCCACAACAGAAGAGAGACAGAGTGGTCAAACTGTTAGAGCTCTGAAATCAGGATTTGAGGCTTGTTAGAGCAGAGCATCTTCCCTATTTCATAATGGTAAAGCCAGTTTTACATCCACCCCTGCAAGAAGCCCTAAAGGTACAGACCGAGAATCAGAAGCTATTCTACCGGATTTCCTTCGTCTTAGTTACTACATTATTGCTTTACTGTAACAAGGTTACTAGTTGTACCTGTAGGATACCACCGTATAAATTTGTACTTGCGGCTACATGCAATTATTAATAATCTGGCTGATAGTATTCTGGTTGGCAAATATTGTAATTTTATCAGATGGCAGGTCTGCTCAACCATTCCCCCCCTCCCCCTTTAGGGCCAGTTTTACATCCACCCCTGCAAGAAGCCCCATTTAATTTTACTTGGCTCAACTCACCCACCCCGGTTCCTTGTACCTATACAGCATACTCTTCCAGCTGTTTGGAACCAGAGCCAATCACCTCCATATCAGCTGCTGCAGTTATACCATTAACTCTATGCCATCTCATACAAATTCCTCTGTTACCTTTTGTCTCACCTCCACAGTTTACCTTTAGATTGTAAGCTCACAGGCAGGGCCCTCTACCGGATGTACCGGTCTGTTCTTATTGTATTGTCTTTTTCCCCCAATTGTACAGCGCTGCGGAATATGTTTGGCGCTTTATAAATACCAGTAATAAATTTAAAATACGAATAATAATGAGGAACAGCAGTCCCACCAGGAGAGGCAGAGAGTCAAGTCAGGGAGGGAAAGGGGGACTTGAAAAGCCCGATTTAAATAATGATACAAAAATAAAATAAAGAAAATGTAACTAACCCATGTACGAGATCTGGTCCCATGAAGATCCCATCTTCGCCATCCACCTCTCAACAGCCTGCTGTTTGTTTGAAACATTTACCTCTATCTTGCAAGGTAGGTTTAGTGAAGAAAGCAGGGAGGAGCTGAGATTCCTTTCAGAGATTAGCCTAACCTACAACAGATTCATCAAATAATTATCAATTACCCCAGGCCATGAAGTTCACAGCATGCAAGTAAAAAAAAAAAAAAAAAGTGTTTCCAATTGTTCTATACACATGGCATTATATTGGGGGAAGATGCAGCTGCAGCACCAGAGTTTAAGCCCTCCAAGATAAAGAGGTGGGGTGAATAAATAAATAGAACTTAATTATTAATACTTATTTGAAAGTAAGTTTCTATTTTTTGCACTCCTTTTTTTCTGCTTTTACTTCATTTCAGTGGTTTATAAAATAAACTTAAAGGAACACCAACGTTTAGGTGGCTTGACCCCCCTTAGAAAGGGTTAAAACATACCTTATTTCCAGCCCCACATGGGTCCCCCAATACAGGCCCACCCAATCCACCACTTTGGCTGACATCAGAACTGGATTGGTTGAGATCGTCAAAAAGGTGGAGGTGGTGCCAAACTCCAGTGCTGGCCAATCAGCATCTCCTCAGTGAGATGAATTGAATCAATGAATATCTATGAGGAAAGTTCAGTGTCTGCATGCAGGGTGGAGATACTGAATGTCAGTCACACTGTGCAGCACTGCCCCAGGAAGCACCTCGAGCAGCCATCTGAGGAGTGGTCAGTGGAGGTATCACTAGGCTGTAATTTAAACACTGCATTTTTCTCTGAAAAGACAGTGTTTACAGCAAAAAGTCTGAAGGGAATGATTCTACTCACCAGAACAAATTCATTAAGCTGTAGTTGTTCTGGTGACTTATAGGGTCCCTTTAATTCACTTGCTGAACAAACGCCCTTAAATTAAAATATTACCTCCACATTTCTTTCCAGTAACATTTTGATCCCATCAAAGTCACGCAGATTGTAGGATATCAATTCACGATCTTGATTTACGTAGACCCGCCCATCGGTCAGACACCCGTCAAGGTTACACACAAGCAGTTTTATTACTTTGGGATTATTTTTCCCAAAATATCCAAATCTGTAGAATAAAAATAGCCATCAAGTTTGGAAATAAATTCAGAACTTTAAAAAGCAATTTTTTCCAGAAAAAGTGGACTATGTTCTTTTACAATGATAATAGGTTAATGACATGATGATTATAAATTTTAACATATCTAAAACTATGTAACAAAAATTTGTGAGAATTTATGTAATAAAGACATTTTGATTCCTCTACCTAGAAAACAGGTCAATCCTGGAATACAATTCAAATATAGTGACTAACAGAATTTTTCAATTCAGCTATTTTGACCTTAAATTTGAAATTCCCTTAAAATTCTCAAATGAGTGAGAAAACCGTAAGAAAATACTGAGGATCCTATTCCTCTCTTCGCCTACGTTTCCCTTGCAAACTGTACAGGTTGGAGTTACAGGAAACGATATGATTTAATATTAACAAAATAACAATGATAGCATTCCAGGAAATACTTATTACCATAAAATATCTTCATTATCTTTTCTATGTATTCAATTCTATCTCATACAAGACTTATGCAACACCCCTCATGTAATTCTGCTTTTTGAGACTATAAAGATGTCGAAGCTAAAATATTAAACCTACAGCAAGATACGGTTACTCTATAATGTTTAATTCAACGCAGATAAATGTTATCTGGAGTATCTTGGATCCTCTATATTGCCATCTCTTATACATGCACACGAATCATATTTACTGTATATTTCATTCCCTGTAAATCCAGCAAAATAACAAAAAATGAAATACTGAGGATGCAATTCTTAACTATTAGAATTGTGCATTTCAATCTCTAGGGGGCGCTATGGAGGAAAAAGGTTCCAGTGTATTTTGCTTGCGGGCTCCATCTCGTTGGTGTAGTTGGAGTTGTTTGGTCCTCTCAGATGTCAGTCTGATTGCCAGAGGGGCACACCTATAACATTTTATTAAAGTGCTTTCTCATGAAAAAGGAATTTAAAAAAAACAAACAAAAACAAAAAAACAAGTACTTTAGCAAGCTTAGCGGTCTAGAGGACTTTAACGTAAAGGAGTGCTTTCTCTCTGTGTGGTGAAATGAATCAGGAGAAGGTTTAGATAAGACAAATAATGTTCTTAGTTTTATGTTATTAGTTTTAAAGTGACACGATGGGCAACAAAACATTAGCTTAATGAAACTGTTTTGGTGTATAGATCATGCATCTGAAGTTTTACTGCTCAATTCACTGCCATTTAGGAGTTAAATCATTTTGTTTCGGTTTATGCAGCCCTAGGCACACCTCCCGTGACTGACACAACCTGCATGGAAACAGAGCGGTGTCTTGTTTTCACGAAGGCTGTAAGATGTTACTTACTTTAAATTTATTTATTTTTTATAATCTCTTTCTCTGTAAATTGAACTTTAATCACACACAGGAGACTCCTGCCAGGTTAAGCAATCTATTCAGGCGATATTAAAAAATTCTAAATCACACAATTTGAAATAAAGGAAATATAAACATTAGATGTCTCTTTACAGGAAGTATTTAGGAAGGTTGTGTAAGACACGCAGGGAGGTGTGACAAGGGCTGTATAAACAAAGTGATTTAACTAGTAAATGGCAGAGAATTGAGCAGTGAGACTGCAGGAGTGTGATCTATACACTAAAACGGCTTCATTAAGCTACAGTTGCTTTGGTGACTAGTGTACTATAGTGTCAGGGGTGGGGAACCTTCAGCCCTCCAGATGTTTTGGACTACATCTCCCATAATGCTCTTACAGCCATAATGCTAGAAAAGCATCATGGTGTAGTCCACCACATCTGGTGGGCCAACGTTTCCCCACCCCTGCTATTAGATTGCTTTTCTTTTGGGGAGGGGGTTTGCATGAGCTCATGTAGAAACATAGAATGTGACGGCAGATAAGAACCATTCGGCCCATCTAGTCTGCCCAATTTTCTAAATACTTTCATTAGTCCCTGGCCTTATCTTATAGTTAGGATAGCCTTATGCCTATCCCACGCATGCTTAAACTCCTTTACTGTGTTAACCTCTACCACTTCAGCTGGAAGGCTATTCCATGCATCCACTACCCTCTCAGTAAAGCAATACTTCCTGATATTATTTTTAAACCTTTGTCCCTCTAATTTAAGACTATGTCCTCTTGTTGTGGTAGTTTTTCTTCTTTTAAATATAGTCTCCTCCATTACTGTGTTGATTCCCTTTATATATTTAAATGTTTCTATCATATCCCCCCAGTCTCGTCTTTCCTCCAAGCTATACATGTTAAGATCCTTTAACCTTTCCTGGTAAGTTTTATCCCGCAATCCATGAACCAGTTTAGTAGCCCTCCTCTGAACCCTCTCTAAGGTATCAATATCCTTCTGAAGATACGGTCTCCAGTACTGTGTACAATACTCCAAGTGAGGTCTCACCAGTGTTCTGTACAATGGCTTGAGCACTTCCCTCTTTCTACTGCTAATACCTCTCCCTATACAACATTTGGTTCAGTTACAACAATTCCGGCAGCTTAAAAGGGACACTATAGTCACCAGAACTACCGCATTTTGCATTGTTTCTGGTGTCTATAGCCTGTCCCTGCAGGCATTTTCATACAAATACAGTTTTTTTCAGAGAAAAGGCAGTGTTTACGTTACAGCCTAGGTATACCTACAGTAGGACTACTCAACAGTGTGCAGCACCAACGTTCAGCGTCTCCACGCTCTGTATGATCATGTCAAATTGGTTGGCAAATTCAGAAAGCAGCATACTTGCACCGCATGGTTTATTTGCAGGTAACCCCTAATTCTTTTGTTTTACTCTTGCATTATATATGTAATACTTTTAAAATGGAAGTGAGGCACAGCTCCTGCAAACACGGTCCCTTTAATGACAATCCTGTGCTCTCAAACTATATGCAGATTGCGACCTCTAGTGGTGGGAAACCATGTGTGCATGCCATATCTGAGTACCATAAAATGTATCAATAAAAGGAAGCAAGGTGTATAAATGTTACATATCAATCACCTCACTCCTTAAAGGACCACTATAGGCACCCAGACCATTTCAGCTCAATGAAGTGGTCTGTGAGCCAGGTCCCTCTAGTTTTAACCCTGCAGCTGTTGTGAGGATATTTATTGGGGTGATAAATATTAAAATATTTTCATAAAAATTACCAAAAATTAATTTAATACATTTTATTAGATCAAAATCGATATCTTAGCACTGTTTCCCCGAATAATGATAATATAAAGCTGAGAATTACTCAAGATGTTAATTCTCTTAGATCCTAGAGGAAGCTCATTAGAGGATTTTTACTTCACACAGTAAAATCACAATTATAAAAATGTAATTTATTGTGACAATAATAAAATAATAATATGTAACATGCGTGACAATCAGTGAATACTTAGTATAAGATAGGCATACAATATGGCAATAGTTTAAACACAATACAGCGTCAAAAAGCGACCAGTTGTTAAAAGATTTATGATAGGGCACTTCACTTAGAAACCAACTTTACAAAAAGAAGACAAAACTCCACAGAATACAATAACAACTTTGGCTGACAGACTACACTTTCACTGCCGGCTACAATCCTCACAGGCAATATATCCAATTATATTGTATTTGTACAATTAAAGTAATGTTCAAATCAGATCATTAAAGGACCACTATAGGCACCCACACCACTTCAGCTTAATGAAGTGGTCTGGGTGCCTGGTCCAGCCAGGACTAACCCTTTTTTCTATAAGCATAGCAGTTTCAGAGAAACTGCTATTTTTATTAGGGTTAATCCAGCCTCTAGTGGCCGTCTCATTGACAGCTGCTAGAGGCGCTTGCGTGCTTCTCACTGTGAAAATCACAGTGAGAGGACGCCAGCGTCCGTAGGAAAGCATTGATAATGCTTTCCTATGAGACTGGCTAAATGCGTGCGCAGCTCTTGCCGCGCATGCGCATTCAGTCAGGGAGGTGGAGAGCTCCCCGCCCGGTGCTGGAGAAAGAGGCAAGTTTAACCCCTTCCTCCCCCTAGAGCCGGGTGGAAGGGGGACCCTGAGGGTGAGGGTACCCTCAGGGCACTATAGTGCCAGGAAAACTAGTATGTTTTCCTGGCACTATAGTGGTCCTTTAACCAGTTCCTAGGACCATCCAATAAGAATAATTCTACCAGATTTTACATTTGCCGAATTTTTACTTTCCTAAATAAGATATACTCTTATTTCAGAACAAGTCAATACATCTGGATAACATGCGGCATGCTAACCCTAGGTTGTAGATTTTCTCTCAGATGTGTAGATAGGTCCCAGGAATTTGAATGCAAGTATGAAGGGGATTGTATGGGAATAGATAAAAGTGGTGTTGGTTAGAAAAAAAAATAATATTAAAATTTTGGTGTCTAGGAGAGTGTTTAAGTATAGTCCAAGTCAGATTATGTTTCAAAGAGAGTTTAAAAGTGGTCCAAAGAGAATGAATGTCCCAAAGAGTTGAATGTCTGAATCTCTCGTCTTCCCTTTGTCCTTACTTTTTAAAGGGCCAAACTCTCTGCACGTCACTAATTGATAGGACCAATAGGGAACTGTAGGTGCGTCTTCCCTAAAGACTATCATCTAGATTTTGGTCAGTAGATGGCGCAATTACATCACCAAAATTTCTTGTCATGGGGTCCATTTGCCTTTTTGCATAATGGGGTAACTGGTTTCGATGAGTTTTACTTCATTTTGGCCTATCTTTATGGCCCCCAATAACTCTAATGTCCTGCCAATTTCAAAGGCTTTACCCCAGTCTGGGTGTCTGCAATTTCGATCGTAATTTAGAATTGACACCTCCTAACCTTAATTTCACCCTTTACTTACAATGGGACTTTGTAAGATTTAGAAAGTAAAATTAATTACTAAGTGTTAACTGTCATTGGTGTCTGGTTCTTTTGTGAACCTGTGTTTAAGATTAATTGTATCCCACTAATATTATTAAATTATATGATATTTCTTCATGAGTATTTATCCATGAATGGTCTATATTATTAACATGATACTAATTATATGTGATTAATATAAAAATAGTATTATAAGTGGATAGTGTGTATATGTATATATAATTATGTATACATTTGTCTCTGGGTTAGTATTCCATCCCCCTTCTGCTGTTAGACATCATTTATCTTGTTTAAATAACGCATTCCTTAGCTCAGACTTGAATGAATAGAGTGATAAAAAGAAATTCTGTGTCTTTCTTAGCCTTGTAATACAAATATGGAGTCATCTATGTTCTGAGTGTGACTGGCAATATACACTTAATTTCTGTCTTAACACAAAATGTCTGCCGATATAAATATACTGACACTGTAAACATAGCTATTTCAGAGAAACTGCTATGTTTACACTGAGGGTTAATCCAGTCTCTAGTGGCTGTCTCACGGACAGACGCTAGAGGCGCTTCTCACTGTGAAAATCACACTGAGAGGACGCTGGACGTTGAAAGGAAAGCATTGAGTAATGCTTTCCTATGGGCGGTTTGAATGAGCGTGCAGCTCTTGCCACATACGCGCATTCGGAGCAGACGCCAGCAGGGGGAGAAGAGGTCACCAGCTCCAGATTAAGGTAAGTGGCTGAAGGGATTTTAACCCCTTTAGCCCAGCAGGTGGGGGGCCATGAGGGTGGGGCAGGACCTAATAACCCTATAGTGCCAGGAAAACAAGTTTTTCTCTAGTGCTTCTTTAACCCCTTAATGTGTGACATGTCACGATTCCCTTTTATTCCAGAAGTTTGGTCCTTAAGGAGGTTAAAGAAGGACTAATCTTAGAAATCTATTAAAAGTCTCTAGAGATAAAATTATAAATATAATTAAATCGTGAAATATTGAACCCAGATTAACCCAAGTCACAGATAGGATGTGCTATATAACATATCATACAAACTATCTTTTCATGTATACATCTCACTTTAATGTTTTACCTCTTAACTCGCTGCTCTGCAATTGGCCAGTCGAGATCAATGTCAATATCCACACTATGTTCTGGTTTCATCTCGTAATAAGCCATTTTCCCACCCTGAAAAAAGTCATTACAAGAATGGGTTGAGTTAGCAATATCAATTAAACAGTTAATAGCTCCCAACTGATTCCTCTCCTGCAACTGTCAAAAAAACAAAGAAAAAACACACACTAAATCTTCAGTGAATACTATTCCACCAATCTACTTCTCTAATACGATCCTTACCCTTTGTTTCACTATACCCCACTCCCTCTAGCTCATGTAAGCTCAATCCCTCTGTTCCTGTGCGCAAACTTGTCTGGTTACAATTACGTGTCTCTTAGTCCACCCATTGTACAGTGCCGCGGAATTTGTAGACGCTATATAAATAATAATAATAATAAAAAAAAAGATATTTCAAAGCATTTGCTAGTTGTTGTCACATCCAGCCGTTTACTTTAAGCATTATATTTTACAAGAATGAACAGAGATACGGTAAATATCGGATACTTCTAGAAACTGATTTATTCTTTCGTTGTAAATAAATGTATAAAGATTTTAAAATGACTATTAAAGGGACACTATAGTCACCCAGACCACTTTAGCTCAATGAAGTGGTCTGTGCGTCAGGTCCCGCAGGTTTTAACCCTTCAGACGTAAACATAGCAGTTCCAGAGAAACTGCTATGTTTACATTGCAGGGTTAATCCAGGCTCTAGTGGCTGTCTGACTGCCGCTAGAGGCGCTTCTGCGACACTGGATGCGAAAATCGCATTCAGCGTGTAGAACATCTATAGGAAAGCATTGAGAAATGCTTTCCTATGGACTGTTTAAATGCGCGTGCGGCTCTTGCCGCTCCACTCAGAAGCTGACGGCAGGGGAAGAGAGGTCCACAGGGCCAAGGGAGCCCGGCGCTGGATTAAGGTAAGTAGCTGAAGGGGTTTTAAGGGAAGGAGGCCCTGAGGGTGGGGGGGGGAGGGTACTAAGGAGTATATAGTGTCAGGAAACAAGTTTGTTTTCCTGACACAATAGTGATCCTTTAAAAATGGTAAACTATTTCTCTCCAAAGTTTCTTGATACGAGACGATCAGCCTACACCTGAAGAGCTTTTGCGGCATACCTGTGGGTGCAGACGTGGGAGAGGCAACCGATCTCTGCGTTGGTCACCCCGATAGACTAAGTGGGTGCTGTAGGGTTCCTGCACCCCCTACTCCCTCCAGACCAGTGGTGGTTATCCCAGTCCCTGCAGGCTTGGGCCACGACGATTACTCAGCTTTACGTGGACCCCCAATCATTTTCTGGTCGGTAAAGGGCAGTTGTCACTAAAATGGCCGACACGCACGACCCGGCGACTAGAGGCCTGCAACTGAACTATGCGGACTTACCGGATCCACACCACTACAACATAGCTAAACAAGAGTGGTACTTGCATGCTTCTGGACCACCCTGATAGAAGGGATGAAATCCGCAGCAGCTGAACATACCCAGTCTGGATGGGAATAAAGACACAGTGGGGAAAGGTCTGGGAGGCGCATTGCGAGACTCCACCCCTCACCTACCTGGGCTGAGAGCTAAGAGTGGTTGGACCTTAACGTACCAGCCACGCAAGCAGAAGGCCACACAATATACAAAAAGAAACAAAACCTGTGACACACAGAGCTCATCGCATTATCCAGGAAGGGAAGAACATAGACTTTAAAAGTTTGTGGCGAAAAGGTACTGGCTTTCATGCAGACACTGGCCTGAGAGGCTCCCTGACTTGGCACTGTTTTGCAGCTTTCCTAGGTGGACTGTATATCCGTCGGAGATCAAAGCCCCGTAGAGGTATTGGATGACTGTCCAGTATATTAGCTCCGTAGACCTGTCTGGTAATCCAGAACGTCTCTTCCTCAAGAAGTATGTAGGCAACCTCTGATTGTGTGGTGTCGGTTCCAGGTTGACGGCCTACCCACGACACTCCTGCACAGATCATAGTCTTTCTATTCTAAGCCAGCCGATTTCTCATTTATTTCAGACAGTTGGATACACTATCTGTGCATAAGCTTGGTCTTCCTTCATCCATAGCTTTGAATGCCTAGCACAGTGTTCCTCTTGTCTTATTTTATTACACTCTACTAAAATAATTGTTCACTTAATCATACCAACGTGATCTAGCATGCTCTTCTGTGACTTTATTAGTTTAATGGGACACTATGGTCACCAGAACAACTACAGCTTATTGAATTTGTTCTGGTGAGTAGAATCATTACCTTCAGGATTTTTGCTGTAAACACTGTCTTTTCAGAGAAAATGCAGTGTTTACATTACAGCCTAGTGATAACTTCACTGGCCACTCCTCAGATGGCTGTTAGAGATCCTTCCTGGGTCATGGCTGCCTAAAATGCATCCAAACATTCCGTATCTCCTCCCGCTGCATGCAGACACTGAACTTTCCTCATAGAGATTCATTGATTTAATTCATCTCTATGAGGAGATGCTGATTGGCCAGGGCTGTGTTTGAATTGTGCTGCCCCTGATCTGCCTCCTTGTCAGTCTCTGCCAATCCTATGGGGAAGCACTGTGATTGGATCAGGCTACCACTTCTGATGATGTCTGCAGACTGCTTGTTTTTCTGAGGCAAACAGCATGCAGATATACAGCTTCAGGCTTGAATGCAGTAAGATTTTGCTATATTTATGGAGGCATGAGGGGTCTAGGGGGGTTAGATGGTGGTTTTAACACTATAGGGTTAGTAATACATGTTTGTGTTCCTGACCCTATAGTGATCCTTTAATACTCACCTTATCTGGCATTTCTCCTGTGTCATAATGACTTGCTACTTTTATGTGCCTAGACACTGTTCCATACCTTGCTTATTGCCTTACATTTCACAAAATAAATTCTGGTTTATTGTAATTTTCTATGTATATCTTGCAAACATCTCAATAAAAGAAAGACTAACAAAAAAAATGGTAAAATAATGACCTAAAATTGCATTAACCTTACATAATACAGGGTGGGCCAAAATTCAGAGTAGTATTTACATTTTTTGTTGCAGGTACATATTATAACAGAGTCTTTCGAGAGTCATCATAGGTAATATCACGAAGGAACGAGTAAATATAGCAGAATTCTATTTTTAAAGTAATTTTTATGCATAAAGAAAAACGAGATTGTGAAATGTGGATTCAATGGGATAAGGCTCGTGTCCGTACAGCTAGGGCCACAATGGACTTCCTGAGACAACTTTCAGTGAATGGATAATTTTAAGAAATTGCCAGATGGCTTGGCTGCCAGCTTTTCCCAACCATTCAGCTCCCAATTACGTGATGTGGGGATATCTGAAGGAGCGTGTGTATGTGAACAAACTGCGTACACTTCAGCAGCTCGAGGAGAATATAAGCTCAGAATGATGTATGATCACTGAAATTAGTTCATTAATTAAAAAAGGAATTGACGCATCAAACCTTACTCTACATTTTGACCCACCATATACTAAATAAATGACATGATAAACTAAATAATCAACCTGCAGGTATCCCTGTTTGATAAGTTCTGCTGTTGCAAAGTAAAAGGAGCCATTTTCATAGAGCTCTCCGTGCCAATCCTGCCGGCGTGGTCTACATGCGGTGTTGAAGTTTTCAGGGGCAGTCAGTCCACCTGCACAAGAAAATAAAACTTTTCACCTATATTTATAGTAAAAGATATTGAAATACATGTATGAAAATCCTTTCATTTCTTTTCATGTTTCTCAGCTAGTATGATCGGGCCTTGGTTTCACCCTGTAACAATATGGAAGTCATGCATGGCAAGGTATTTTGTATCACTCCAATGGAAATTAGATTGTAAGCTCACCTGCCACATCAAGGCAAGTCTCTTAGGGTCTGTGTCAGAGATTTTTCTCACCGGAAGCTGAAGGAAGCAAGGTGACTTGTCAGTGTAGGACTCCCCTAAGAGGTTTGCCTTGACGTGGTAGTGAAGCTTACAATCTAATGGCCAGTGGAGTGATGTTAAAAAACCTCCAGTTAAATATGCATAAGGATTTGAGATAGTGAGCAAGTAAAGTTTTTCTTTGGTTTTTATTGTATGTATTGGGGATGATGTGTACTATAGTCGTTGCTGCCACCCAGGAGTGGTGGGAGTCTGAGTGCAGGTTTTTTTTGGGTATTCGTATTTGCATCACACAGTTATGTTACAATACTGCTGCCCCCCCATGTGCTCCTTATTAAGGGTTAATAAGTGTATAGGGGTTAGAAAGATACCCCTCTCTGTCTCAGACATTTCTGCCGCCCACCCCATGTGCTCCCTATTAAGGGTTAATAAGTATGTAAAGGTTAGAAAGAAACCCCTCTCTGTCTCAGACATTGCTGCCGCCCACCCCACGTGCTCCCTATTAAAGGCTAATAAGTGTATAGGGGTTAGAAAGATACCCCTCTCTGTCTCAGACATTTCTGCCGCCCACCCCATGTGCTCCCTATTAAGGGTTAATAAGTATGTAGGGGTTAGAAAGATACCCCTCTCTGTCTCAGACATTGCTGCCGCCCACCCCATGTGCTCCCTATTAAGGGTTAATAAGTATGTAAAGGTTAGAAAGAAACCCCTCTCTGTCTCAGACATTGCTGCCGCCCACCCCACGTGCTCCCTATTAAAGGCTAATAAGTGTATAGGGGTTAGAAAGATACCCCTCTCTGTCTCAGACATTTCTGCCGCCCACCCCATGTGCTCCCTATTAAGGGTTAATAAGTATGTAGGGGTTAGAAAGATACCCCTCTCTGTCTCAGACATTGCTGCCGCCCACCCCACGTGCTCCCTATTAAGGGTTAATAAGTATGTAGGGGTTAGAAAGATACCCCTCTCTGTCTCATTAGTCATTGCTTGCGCCCATCCCATGTGCTCCCTATTAAGGGTTAATAAGTATGTAGGGGTTAGAAAGATACCCCTCTCTGTCTGTTTTTTTTCACCCGAAGGAAGCAAGGTGAACCATTTGTGTAGGCAAGTAGTTTGCCTTGATGTGGCTTACAATCGAATGGTCACTGGAGTGATTCGAAAACCTCCAGTTATTTAAATATGCGCAAGTAAAGTTTTTCCTTGTTTTTTTTTGTGTATGTATTGCGACTGATGTGTACTAGTATCCTTGTCAAGTCTGCATTTTAAAAGTATTACCCTTCAACACTGCTCCCAAAAAAACAGACACTTCCGACCTGGAAAGTATATTTAACGCCATGTTACAGTGAAAGAATAAGATCATCACTTAAAGCAAGCAGAAAGGTTTATCAAACAATGTTTTAAATATGGCAATTATATGTTTTAATAATACATGCTGGATTATGTTTTTCTGCATGTTTAGTAGATGAGAGATAGAAATATACAGCATTAAAAGGGGTCTATTTAGACTAGAGAGAAAGTACACATCGCCTGGAAGGCATAACTGCCTCCTTGGGAGTGTTCAGAAAAAAAAATCAAGTGACAGGACAGACAATACATCGTGCCTTAGGAAAGAAAATTACATTTACATATCAATTGGGTTTAGGAAATGTCAATTTACAAAATGGGAACAAATGCCTTTAAAAACTGAGGATACACGTAAAACATTGGTTACAGACTGTGACGAACCGCCTGGCACCCCGACCGGGTACTTCCGTCAATCGATGCTCCTAGTGCTCACCGAGGGATCCAAGCACTCCACCAGACACCATAAGCACTGTAGACTCCATGAACCGCCGCAGCTTGGTTGGGGTCTTGCCGTCCTCTGCCCACACTGGACCCAAGACCAGGATCCAGCTTCCAGTGGGTAGATCACTCCTACTCCAGAGAGCGTAGCAGGAACAAGCTCTTAGAAGAGCTAGTGATTATACTCATGGGAGTATTGTGATATAGCAATCCCCAGAGTGTAGTTCTCCAATCCCCCAAACATGAACCAAGACTTCATGAAGGGGTAAAGCATTCTGTTTAATAGAAGCCACAGCTGGCCTTTTATGCAAGTCCCCAAGCAAGGTGTACGCCCACATGGACCTTGTTGGGGACAGGGAAACAAAGCTTACAAACCAATCAGAACAAACATACAATCCCTCCCCTCTGCCTGTGAGATAATGGAGTCAGATGCTGTATTAACCCAATTATCTCCAGGCAGGAAAAAACCCCACATATTTTACAAAGTCCCATAAGTACCCAAAAACACAACATATCCCCATAATGTAACATCCCCTGATATCTGGATGGACATGTCCAAAAATCACCCAGATCAAAGCCGGAATTCAGGAAATTGCTGGAAGTCTCTTTTTGACCGACCGCACGCATGGTTACATGCCTAAAACAGTTACAGAGAAGCAGGCTGTGCAGCCAGTCTATTTCAAATAGTCGAAAGACCGTTCTAATTATCAAACGTAGCTGTTTGTGGATACAGTCATTATGTGTCTACTGTTCGTGGGTTTCTTTTTACCCAACGCCGCTCAACGCCCGTTCGAATAGCTGGACCTCCATGGAAAGTGTAAGGAAACCAAGTGCATTTAAACCTCAATCGGTAGTTTCCTCCCAAACCGCCAGAGCCCAGTGAACATAGCCCTCCGTTCGGTAGTTATGGTAGACGAATCCCAGTGTAATTCCAATAGTGTCCCTGGATAATTCCCTCAGTAAAACACACAAACTCCCAAACAGCATACGTAGTCAGAAGGGTACAAAGATGAACTAAGGATTTATTGACAGGCATTCTCTCTTTATGGGATTCTGCCCATGCAAGGGAGCCTCCCATATAAATTAGCCATACATCCAATCCTAACAATATACATACTGTACATCTCCTGCCCTCAGATAACCATTTAACATAATTAAAACGGAACATAATTTCCCCAAAGTCTGGATGTACCCCAAGATAGCTGTACTCTGGGGGACCAACATATGAAAAAATCAGTCCATTCGGTTCAGCCGTTCGGGAGATATAGGACTTAGAAGTTTTGACCGAGTGCACGGGCAAAATAGCCGAAAACAGTTCCACGAATTCTGACCCTGCAGTCGGTCTTAGGTCGCATGAAAAACCTCCCGAACGGCCGGCCATCCATGGTTCGCTTGACTCCCCATCTGTCAGTGAGTCTTTTTACCGAATGCCCGGTCATTCGGTAGTTTTAGTGGGGTTTTACCGAAGGTATGGAGGATTCAGGGGTGTTCGCCTATTTGAGTGTCCGTTTTCAGTTCCAGACACTCGACGGCAAACACCGCTGTTCGGGAGCTAAAATGGCAACGAACACGTGGAAGTCCCGAAATGGTGGCGGTGCATACCGTTCGTGCAGAACTTTTGTCGAACATGCCCAGCAAGCAGGGAGGTAAAGTATTCATAATGGGCAACGGGGTGGTCTCGATTCGGTAGTTTTACCTACCGAATGCCATATGGAAAGCTAGCATGAAACAAGTGAATACAAATTTTCATTTTGAAGCCAAATAGGGGAATTTCTTCACAGAAGGTAAAAGTTTAGCGGTGTTCGTGCCGTCGATTGTCTAGTTTGACTTCCATGCACTCGACGACCAAACACCGCTGGATTCGTTCGACTAAACAAGATGGTGTTTGAATGGCACACAGTAGTTCTAACAAGGATTTGACACAGGGGCCATAGTCACAGGGTAGGAGGCTGGCAAACAGGCTCTTACAGAAGCCAGTGACTAGGTTACTTTCGTCACACGAACTATGTTGGAAAATCATACACTCGCTACCACTAGGCTTGCTCTCAATGGAGATCAATTAGTGGTTAGAGAAGAATTATACAATACACATGAAAAAAATATCAAACAAGCAGTTAAAGTGCATCACCCCAAGCTAGCCCATACCTCACTATAAAGACAGAAATAAAGGCTAATCACCTGTCGTCTTCACATCTTTCCATCGAAACAAGTGATGTCTCACCACGGAAAACACAGAGTCAAAACCGTCTATTCGGATCATGTCTACCACACGCATGAGATCTTCTGGGTGGAGACAAGGCGAAGTGGCCTGGATATTTCCGACAATGTCAACCTCTTTGGAAAGTATAAAAAATAAATTAAAAAAACAGTTAGAGAAATACAGAAAACATTAAAGAATAACTTGACATGTTAGTGCAAAAAACTAGGACATACTTTGTCGTAGCCTGCTATTCTGATATAATTATACTTTATTTATAAAGCGCCAACACATTCAACAATGCTGTCCATAGCTACAATTAATAGGGATCGACCGATATTCTGAATTTTCAGCAATATCGGTATCTGCCTATAAAAGATACCGATAATGCAGACCAGTGCCGCCATCAGTGCATGACAACCAAGACGGTTGTCATGGGCCGGCGGTCCTGGAGGGCCCGCAGCACACTCTTACTTACCTTCCCAGCAGCTCCCCTGTCAAAATCTTGTGAGTCCCGCGGCTGTCAGGGCCTTGCCACGGGTTACCATGGCAACGCTCCGCGCAGCACACAAGCCGCGAGAGTTAGACAAGGGAGTTGCTGGGAAGGGAGGTAAGAGTCTTTGCTGGGCCCCCTCTGCACAGTCCTTCCCACCGGACCACCAGGGAATGCCATATCCCCCCTCCCTGGCCAGGTAAGAAACAGGGAGGGGGGCTAAAACAAAATGTTAAAAAAATAAAAATGCCCCCCCCTCCTGTTTTACACACATTACATACCTACACAAACTGCATTTACTATACACACACACTCCGCATTTATTAAATACACACACTACACAAATTACACACACACACTGCATCCCCTAATCAAATACTCTCACTGCATCCACTACACACATGTATTCTTGAAAACAAATTCTGACCAGTATGTATATTTTGTGCATTTACCTTAAAAAATAAAAATTAGCAATAAATAAATAATTAATAAACATGTTCAGTTTTGTGTAGAAATTGTTTATTTTTTCAAACCAGTAAATGTACAGAATATCTGTAAGTTATCGGCTATCGGCCTGAAAGTTCACAGATGAACGGCTCTAAAAAAAAAAAAAAAAAAAATCAATATCGGTCCATCTCTAACAATTAATACAAGTAAAAAGAGAGTAATAATGAGCGCCTTGAAGACTGCGCAGCGCTCCAAGCAAACTGCCCAGCGCCCATGCAGACCACTCAACGCCCAGCGCCCATGCAGACCACGCAACTCCCAGCGCCACATGCAGACTGCCCAGCGCTCCCATGCAGACCGCACAACTTCCAGCGCCACATGCAGACCGCCAAGCAGTTCACTCAGAGAATCCTCACCTGGGTGATATTTCAGAAACTCCTGGATTGTTTCCAGGGAGGATGTAGTATCTTTGGAAACCTGTGCGCTGCGACGGTGAACCTGGGCTCCATAATCTTTAGCCACTTTTTCAATGTCATCGCTGTCAGTAGAAACCCAGACACTAAACAATAAAACACACAAATCAATCAGAACTCTATCCTGAGACAGTGTCTGCCTCTACTTCCAGAACGTAGTGTGGCTGTCTGCCCCTACCTGTCCAACACCCCTTGTTACCCCCCGGCCCCGCCCCCATGTTACCCCCCGTCTCTCTCCCCCTTGTTACGTCTCTCCCCTTTATTGCCCCCAGTCTCTCCCCTTGTTTACCCCAGTCTCCCACCCGTCTCTCCCCTTTGTTACCCCCAGTCTCTCTCCCTTGGTACCCCAAGTCTCTCCCCTTTGTTACCCCCAGTCTCTCCCCTTGTTACCCCAGTCTCTCCCCCTTGTTACCCCAGTCTCTCCCCCCTTGTTACCCCAGTCCTCTCCCCACTTGTTACCCCGTCTCTCCCCTTGTTACCCCGTCTCTCCCCCACTTGTTACCCCAGTCTCTCCCCTTGTTACCCCCGTCTCTCTCCCCCTTGTTACCCCCAGTCTCTCCCCTTGTGCCCCAGTCCCCGTCTCCCCTTGTTGCCCGTCCTCCCATGATGTTACCCCCACTCTCTCTCCTTGTTACCCCGTCTCTCTCCTTGTGCCCCAGTCTCTCCCCTTGTTACCCCCCAGTCTCCCCGTCTCTCCCCTTGTTACCCCCGTCTCTCCCCTTGTTACCCCGTCTCTCTCCCCTTGTTGCCCCGTCTCTCTCCCCTTGTTACCCATTACTCTCCCCTTATTTTGCCCCCCGGTCTCCCCGTCTCTCCCCTTGTTGCCCCGTCTCTCCCCTTGTTGCCCCGTCTCTCCCCTTGTTACCCCCCGTCTCCCCTTGTTACCCCGTCTCTCCCCTGTGGCCCCCCCGGTTACCTGTCGAACACCCCGCTGTCCCCCGCGGCCCGCAGCACCCAGCCAATCAGAGGTTTTCCCGCCAATTTCTTGATGTTTTTCTGGGGGATCCCCTTACTGCCCCCCCGGGCCAAAACCAGAGCCGCCAGGTGTCCGCCCCGCTCCCCCGCCGCCATCTTACCGGAAACTGCCGCCACTTCCGGCCACGTCATCACCGGAAGGAGAGAGGGGGATGATGGGAGAGGTAGTTATCAGAGAGGAGGGACGATGGGAGAGGTAGTTATCAGGGAGGGGGACGATGGGAGAGGTAGTTATCAGAGAGGGGGTGGATGGGAGAGGTAGTTATCAGGGAGGGGGATGATGGGAGAGGTAGTTATCATGGAGGGGGAGGATGGGAGAGGTAGTTATCAGAGAGGGGGATGATGGTGTTGTAGAATTATAGAATTCTTGAAATTATCTAAGCTAATGCTTTGGCAGGAAGAAATGTGCTGAATAATAAAATGTGTATTTACTAAAAGAACCTTGAAACTAACAATACTAACTACTCAAAATGGCTGCCAAAGCACCCCTCCCATCGAGTGAACACCTCGTGCTAACAAGATGGCGCCTATATCTTGTGTCCACTCCCGTGTCAAGGATGACATCACCTCTTGATAGGAGGGTATCTAACTAACCACTTAACACCTGAACCAATTAATAATGTTTATTTGTTGTTATCTTGAATTCTTCAGTGATGTAAAAATGCCTTTATAAGGGTCTGCGCACCCATTTTCTGTTAGAAGCCATTAAACTTCTCCGAAGTTCTTTCATTAACCTGAACCCTGTGTCTCAGTGTGAATTTACTTCTGCGTGCACACAACTTTATTATCTTTAATTTGGACAGGAACAGATAGTCATTCAAACTAATTGGTTTGCAGAAAATAATCTACTACAATTTGGCCTCCAACGTGGGGCTCTGGGTTATGTCCTGCCCGGACAGCAGTCCAAGAAGACGCGGGGGGGGGGTGAATCCTGGGGGAAGGAAAAGAGCCTGATTGATACCGGAGAAACTGACGGAAGCAAAGCACAGAGGGATGGACACAGGTTTCTTCAGGAAGGAAGAGATTCTTTATTGGATCACCGATCGGGACTCAGAGGGACTAATGTCACCAAAAATACAGCAAGTTCTGAGCCCTGAACAATAGTGCAGGCTCCCTATATAGGCACATAACTCCTCCCATATTAAGCTCCACCCGCACATTCTCTTGACCAATCATTACAAATAAGAATTAACTTCCTGCTTGACCGCATGGCTTGTCCAGCACAATGGAGGAGGGGAATACTACATCCTGTATTCTTGCACATGCTCCGTACACTACTGATCGTATCTTGCCTCGTGCAACCAACTGATCGATACGTCAGCATATGCACGTACACATGCCACGTGGTAATCTCGGCCTACTAAATTTATTTTTACCGAGATTCCACCACATGATCACCTCTGAGTAAACGGTGGAGACTGCTGCAGCACCTAGCCGGTATGTTCCTGCCCCTGTGATTGACCTATCCCAGTGTCTGTGACTGCTGCCGAGAGGACATCAAAGTCAGGTAATAACTTGCCCAGAGTCTTTGCATTCTTAATGATACCTAGTTTACCTGCATGTTGACTATCTGTTGCCTGGGTGTGTTTGTATTGGTTTGTGTTTAGCTTAGTCCCCGGGGAGTGTGAGTGCCTGTTTACCCCTTTTAGGTGCTAGGTGGCTCTAGCGGTAAAGGAAAAAGGGGAGGGGACCTGGTGGAAGTCTGTGTGGACTCACTACTTTCTCAGGTTCCGGGGTGTCACTTTGAGGGCCTGGCTAGCCTCATTGTGCACGTTACTCTGCTTGCAGAGGGTGAGACACTTCAGCCTCGAGCGCTGACGCTGGTAGTGTTCTGTTAACCTCTCAGTGCCCGCGGATACGGACACTGTTAGGTTGTGGTGGGATTGGATTCGGGCAGGCATTGCTGTTTCCATCACCGTGCGGTAGTGAGACTTGCTGGTGGGTCCGCAACAGGGACACTACGAGGTTGAGGGAGGTGGCTGCGGCCACACGAGTAAAGGAAAGGGATTTGAACTGTGATGCATGCACTGTATTTTATTTGAAATGTTGTCTTAACTGTCTGTCACACAGATTCCTGTGCTTGATCTTATCTTACTCTCTGTGTTATTTACACTTTCCCCTCTTATTTCTCTTTGTTGAGAGAAGTGATTGGTCACACACTTCTCGCCACGCTCCAATTCCGCGGCTACCTCGGGTAGGCGGAATTAGTGACTAGTCAACGTTTTGGGAAGACGTACGTAGGAACCCAGTCTTACGTAGCAGTCGAGCACTGTAGACCTTCTTTTCTCTCTTTCTCTATATCTGGGACGCCTCATATAGGGAGGATGGGACAGAAGTTAGATAAACCCAGTAAGGGTTGGTTAGCATTTGATCTAGTGGAAGACAGTGTGGAAGTAGACAAAAATATTACCAGGTTCAATAAAAAGCGTTTAATTGACCATTACAATACACAGAGATATCTCATGGAGATTGGCAAGAAGCAATCTAACATCATGTTACAATTCCTCATATTTTATACATATGACCCGGAACCGGCCTTTCGTTTAGCTTGAATCAGAACTCCAAATATGGTCTTATTTCCTATTGGCTAAATTCTAGCATAACTGACAAATTTAAGGTTCAATAGTTTAAGCATCCCATGATCTTTCTAACAGATGACTTGACCACAGTCATGCGTCTTACTTCGCTAAAATATCGCTTGTCTATGATAAAAGTTAACACATATAAGACTTCCTCTTTCACAACTTAAGCACACATTTCACCTTTCCCCCCCTGGCAACATCTGACAAGACACACTTTCAAAATAACCTTTCCTTTTGCAATCCAAAAAACAGTCCAGACATCCATTAATAAATTGTAGCAATAAAACATAGTTTCTTCTTATTTCTTAGAGTAAATATTCTTCTTTGATTATATTTTAAGATGATGAATAAACAGCAAAATGGCTGACAGCATGTCAGTAGCAGGTTACATATGTTCACAACAGAGAAGGAGAAGAGATGGTTAAGAAAGAATCGTCGACTGAAGTTCGCCTTTCACCGGCCGTTCGTGTGTTTGTAGCCGACTGCAAGTTCCATACTCTAGCTATCTGGGGTCGGTTACGTTCGCATACTTTCAGCGCACGAATGAAGTAGTATCCCCTTCATTCGTGTGTTTTTCCACCGTATGAACAAGGATGGGAGAAGGTAGCAGCGGTGTTCGACAAAATAGGTAGCCGAAATCAGTTCCAGGGAATCCGTGCCATTTACCGCTGTGCGTTCGACAATACAAAATGGCGATTGCCACGTGTTCGGTAGATGAACACGGACCACCAGCTATTCCCCAATTAGTCTGTGGTTAACCGCAACAGTCAGGGTGGTCAATAGGCGCCACACGACCTCAGTGGGAGGTCGGTGGTTCGGTAGTTCATTCGCATTTATTGTTATTTCCACAAAATCCCGCTGTAATCCTCCAAATAACCGAACAGGCTTGTTCGTATAGTCTGTAAATAGGGGATTTCGTTACACAGCTCCCCCTTAGTCCCATGGAACGGCATACCTGCTTAGATCCTAACGGGTCGGCTAAGGGATGTCCGGTAGTACAGGAGAAACAAACAAAAATAACTACTTTTCCAGTTCAGTTTGCCTGGACAAGCCATCGGCATTGGCATTCTGCTTCCCGGGGCGATACTGCATTGTAAAATTGTAGGGTTGCAGTGCCAAGCTCCATCTGAGTAGTCAGGGGTTATCGCCAGCTACTCTGTTAAGCCAAATTAAAGGGTTGTGGTCCGTCAGCACTGTGAAAGAGCGTCCATACAAGTAGGGTTGTAGTTTTTTAAGGGCCCAGACTAATGCCAGACACTCTTTCTCTACAGTGGCATAGATGACTTCGCGGGGTAGTAGTTTTCGGCTCAGATACGCCACCGGGTGATCCATACCATCGTCCCCCACCTGGCTCAATACTGCTCCCAGTCCAAACATTGAGGCATCTGTGTGGACGAGAAACCTTTTAGTATGATCAGGTGCCGCTAACACAGGAGATGCACTTAACGCAGCCTTGAGTTTCTGGAACGCCTCCTCACACTCAGTGGACCAGACTACTTGTCGGGGTAGGGACTTTTTGGTGAGGTCTGTCAAGGGCTTGGCAAGGGCACTGTATTCCGCTACAAATTTCCTGTAATAACCTGCGGTGCCCAAGAACGCCATGACCTGAGTTTTCGTCCGGGGTTGAGGCCACTGGGTGATGGCCTCAATCTTAGCGGGCTCTGGTCTCTGTTTTCCTGACCCTACTCTGTGGCCTAAATATTGGACTTCAGCCATGCCCACGTGGCATTTCTCAGGCTTCAAGGTGAGCCCTGCATTCTGAATTCGGTTGAGCACTACTGAGATGTGCTCCGGGTGGGCTTCCCAAGTGCCACTGAAGATAGCTATATCGTCCAGGTAAGCACAAGCGAAGCCCTGAAATCCCTCTAGGAGCCGGTCTGCCATCCTTTGAAACGTATCTGGGGCATTCTTCATCCCAAATGGTATAACCTTAAACTGGTATAGGCCAAATGGGGTGACAAATGCCGATTTTGGAATGGCCTCAGGCTCCAAAGGGATTTGCCAATATCCCTTGCACAAATCAATAGTGGTCAAATAATTCCCCCCAGCCATACGGTCTAGCAGCTCGTCTACTCTGGGCATGGGGTATGCGTCGGTAACGGTCCGATCGTTTAGCTTACGGTAGCCCACGCAGAATCTGGTGGTACCGTCTTTTTTAGGAACCAGAACTACTGGGGAAGCCCAGGGGCTTTGGGACGGTTCTATGACCCCCAGTTCTAACATGTCCTGGAGTTCCGTTAACATGCTTTCCCGTACTGCCTCTGGGATTCGGTAAGGCTGCTGCCGCAGGGGTAACTGGCCTGGGGTCTCCACTCTGTGGACTGCCAGGGTCGTATACCCTGGGGCTGCTGAAAACATGCCTCCAAATTCCTTTAACAGTTGGGAAGCCTGAGCTTGTTCCTCGGAACCTAATTCTGGACCCAACTGTACCTGGTCTACTCCTGTGGGTTCCTGGGGAAGCATATCCGGTAAAGGGATACCCTCACTATCTTCATATGCTGGAGCGCATACTGCGGAGACCTCCTCTGGTCTCTCGAGATATGGCTTGAGTATATTTACATGGAAGGACCGCCGGATCCTTTCATCGGAACAGTCTGCCACAATGTACGTGGTATCACTGATCCGCTCTATTACAGTGTAGGGGCCCTGCCAGGATGCTTGTAACTTATCTGTTTTGATAGGTTTAAGCACTAGGACCTTTTGTCACTTTTGTCCCACTTCGAATATACGGTCTCTAGCTCCCTTGTCGTACCAATACTTCTGCCGTTGTAGGGCGGCTCGCAGGTTCTCCCGAACTGTTTCGGTCAGAGCCTGTAGCCTGTCCCTCAACTCTAGTACAAAGGAGACTATAGGGGTACCTGCTTGTTCCATATCACCTTCCCAATGTTCCCGTACTAGATCCAGGGGTCCCCGGGCCCGTCTCCCGTATAATAGCTCGAACGGGGAGAATCCGGTGGACTCCTGGGGAACTTCCCTATAGGCAAAGAGCAAATGAGGGAGGAATATTTCCCAATTCCTACAGGTCTCTGTGAACGTGATGAGCATTTGCTTAAGGGTGCTGTTAAAACGTTCACAGAGGCCATTGGTTTGGGGGTGATAGGGAGAACTTAATATGGGTTTTACCCCACAGCTCTGCCAGAGCTGTTGGGTAACCACCGTGGTGAATTGGGTTCCCTGATCGGACACTATCTCCCTAGGGAATCCCACCCTAGTGAATACCTGAACTAGTGCTTCCGCTACCGTCTCTGCATGTATATTTGACAGAGCTATAGTTTCGGGGTAGCGGGTAGCGTAGTCCACCACAGTAAGAATGTATTTCTTACCGGATGGACTGGGTTTACTGAGTGGCCCGACTAAATCAACTGCCACTCAAAAAAATGGTTCCTCAATAATGGGTAGGGGACGTAGTTTTGCCCTGGGGTGATCCCCTCTCTTCCCTACCTTTTGGCATACTTCGCAGGTCCTACAATAATCCTGAAAATCTCTAGTGACCCCTGGCCAGAAAAAGGACTGGGTGAGTCGGTCTCTCGTCTTTTTAATGCTTAAGTGGCCTGCTAGGGGAATATCGTGGCTAATCCTTAACAGTTCTACTCAATACTTACGGGGCACAATTAACTGTCTTTTTTCTATCTGGCCCGCTCCTTTCCCTTCCCCCCCAGTCACTCGGTACAGCAAACCCTTTTCCCAGCTAAACCTGGCCTGATCTCTGTCTCCCTGGGGTTGTTCTGCCTCCCTCCGATACCCTTTCAAGGTGGGGTCTTCCCGTTGCGCTTGCTCAAAGTCTTGAGGGGTACCCCAGTAAGAAGTATGGTCAGGGGGAATCGTCAGAGGGTTATCGCTTACCTGGTCATAGGTTGAGGGGGAGGCTTCCATAGCTCTGGATTGCTGCCGGGTGGTAACAGGTAGTGCTTCTGGGCTGCAGGCTGCCAATTGGGACGTCAGGCATCCTAGATCATTCCCCAGCAATACTTCCGCGGGCAAATCTGGCATGATGCCCACTTCTACGGCCTTGGCCCCTGTACCCCAATCAATGTGCACCCGGGCTGTTGGTAGTTTGTGGATTGCCCCTCCGGCCACCCTTACAGCAATGGTGCGTCCCGTGTGTTGGGTTGGGGTGACCCGGTGTGGCTGGACCAAGGTAATAGTAGCCCCGCTGTCTCTTAGTCCCCGAGCCTCTTGTCCATTGAGCTTTACTGACTGGCGGTGGTGCGCCCTGTTATCCCCAGCCGCTTGCACAGAGTTCACCTCATGTAAGGTGGCCCAATTCTCACTGTTGCTACTGGGTGTCTCTGGAGTCAGAGAGTTGTAATCCTCTTGCACACAGTGTGCGGCTGCTTTTGTCGGTGGTACCGGTGCCCGCCCCCAGCGGTCTGTAGTGCGTTGTGGGCAATTAGGTTTGATGTGCCCCACTTGTTTGCACCCATAACACATTGGAGCGGTCTTTTGGTACCCCGGGGTTGTGGTGTTGCCCCCTGGTGGTGGTACCCTCTGTGGCATAGTTGGCGGGCCAGATGCAGGCCGCTGGCCCTGGACCCCTCGGTTTCCATCCATCCGCCTGCTCTCATGAAATTCGTCTGCCAGCCTTGCTGCCTCCTCCACCGTTTTTGGCTTTCTGTCTCTGACCCAGTCTCTCACCTCCGCTGGAGTATAATCAAAAAATTGCTCCAGTAACAACAATTACACAGCATCCTCTAGGGTAGTTGCCTGATTCCCCTGTATCCAATTACTGGCAGCGCTTTGCATACTGTAAGGAAACCAAGTACATTTAAACCTTAATCGGTAGTTTCCTCCCGAACAGCCAGAGCCCAGTGAATATAGCCCTCCGTTCGGTAGTTATAGTAGACGAATTCCCAATTGTAAATCCAATAGGGTTCCTGGATAATTCCCACAGTAAAACACACGAACTCCCAAACAGCATACGTAGTCAGAATAAGGGTACAAAGATGAACTGTTTATTGGCACACAAAGAACCTTCTTTTATGCAGGTCCCCATGCAAGGGGACATCCCACAGGGTGGGACACAGTACAACCAATCACACAATGGTTACATCCCACACATCCCCTCCCCTTAGCCTGAGAGGTAACCCAATTATCCATACATTTTAAAACACACTTTTTACCCAACTTTCATAACTCTAAAACCATACATCCAATATTAATAAAAGTCACATATTATTAATCAGCACATCCCAAATACAAACATACCCAAAAATCATGCAAATCCTTCCATTAGTTCAAAAGTTAGTTAGAAGTCCTTTGTGACCCAAGGAAGCATGGCTTTTCTGCCCAAACCAGTTCCCACTGGTCTGGCAGTGTCCCTGGGACAACTCCCTGCTTGAGAACAATAGACAGGAAACGGGGGAGGGGAAGAAACACACCTTCCCATGGATTCCAATGGGGAAGAAACTGTCTTTAGAAGCCAATAAGCCCCAAAGGTTGGATGTATAAAGGGGTGACAGGGTGGTCTGCATTCGGTAGTTTTACCTACCGAATGCCATAGGGAAACATTGCTATTGACACAAATACAAAGAGGGCATATACAGTAAAAAAAAAGGCATTTCTTCACACATACGAAATGCCCACTCCGTATATGAATCCTTGCCTTGTCTTCTGAGGGCCCTGAATTTCCTTCTATGGGCTTCAGGAGTTACAGCATACCGGGCCAGCAAAATCTCTTTTATCTTGTCGTAGTTTTGTATATCCCCATCTGGCACCGCTCTCAATGCTTCGGCTGCTCTACCTGATAGTTTACTACTTAATACTGCAGCCCAGTTAGCTCTTTCCAAATCTTCTAACACACATTGTCTTTCAAAATCTTGCAAGTAATTATCAATATCCATCTCACCTTCTACAAAGCTTTTAAATGCAGCGTAGTTAATTTTCCGCTGACGCCCCATTGTAGATCCAGATAGCGACAGTATATCCACTGGAGGTGATCTGTCTCTGGCTTCTCATGCTTCCCTGGCTTTCTGGGACTCTGTAGCTTGTGCCAAGATCTGTACCACGATCTCTGGTGCAGGGTTAGGTCCTACCAGGCTGAGTCTCCATCTCACATCCCTCTGGAACTCTGTTTCCTCTGCATTCGCCATTTGTGGTTCGCCGGTTTGATCGCTCTCCAGTAGTTCGGCTATTAACGTGGCTTTCGGTTTGTTGCTTGCCACTATGCCTCGAGCTTCCAGCAGTTCCTTTAATGTGGTTAGTTTCAAGCGTTCGGATCTATGCGCCATTCACCACTTGTTTCAATTCGGTACGCCCGTTCGGGAGGAAATCCCGCCGCTTGCCACCAGTGTAAAGGATCCTTGCATTCGTGCAGCGATGATCCTTGCAGCTTCTCCCGAAATCCAGCTGAAACGAAGTGATTATAACTCCCAATCCCCCAAACATGAGTCGAGACTTCATGAAGGGGTAAAACGATCTGATTTACTGTGGGCTACCCGCCCGGTATTTATGCAGGTCTTCCACCTGGTGGACACTCCCCTAGGGGACCAGATGTAAGACTGGGACAAAAGTAACACAGTAGCCAATCACAGTGGCTATAGCATAAGCACTCCCCTTTTACCTAAATCACTCCCTCTTTTCCATCCTGAATTAAATTAAGGTAGCAAAGAGAGCCTTAATTATCTCCAGGAAGAAAGAAACATGGCTTTTCTTATTTAGCAAAAACAGAATAAAAAGATATATAACTTTCTTTTTACACAACATAAACTTTAAGTTCCACATGTCCCCAGATAGCTTGGATCTGAGGGCATATTCTAGGCGAATAGCGCTCAGATCCCACGAACACAGGTCTCAGAATCGTCGACTGAAGTTCGCCTTTCACCGGCCATTCGTGTGTTTGTAGCCGACTGCAAGTTCCATACTCTAGCTATCTGGGGTCGGTTACGTTCGCATACTTTCAGCACACGAATGAAGTAGTATCCCCTTCATTCGTGTGTTTTTCCACCGTATGAACAAGGATGGGAGAAGGTAGCAGCGGTGTTCGACAAAATAGGTAGCCGAAATCAGTTCCAGGGAATCTGTGCCATTTACCGCTGTGCGTTCGACAATACAAAATGACGATTGCCACGTGTTCGGTAGATGAACGCGGACCACCAGCTATTCCCCAATTAGTCTGTGGTTAACCGCAACAGTCAGGGTCAATAGGTGCCACACGACCTCAGTGGGAGGTCGATGGTTCGGTAGTTCATTTGCATTTATTGTTATTTCCACGAAATCCCGCTGTAATCCTCCAAATAACCGAACAGGCTTGTTCGTATAGTCTGTAAATAGGGGATTTCGTTACAGAAAGTGTAGGTACACTAAAAACTGAAACGGGGGTGTTAGTTAATGAAGACCAGGAAAAGGCAGGAATTTTAAATAACAATTTCTCCTCCGTATATATTAAGGAAGAACCCATGGCAATAGATGTGCAAATGATTGCTACTAAAAACTTGCAGAATAATTGTAATTGGTTAACTCAAGACAAGGTGCTGCAGCAACTAAAGAAAGTTAATATAAACAAAGCTCCAGGGCCTGACGGTATCCATCCACGTGTACTTAAGGAACTAAGTGCAGAAATAAGTGAACCTCTGTTTTTAATCTGTCAAGATTATTTTCTTTCAGGAAGTGTTCCGGAGGATTGGAGGAAGGCAGATGTGGTTCCTATATTCAAAAAGGGTTCAAAATCCTTGCCTGGAAATTATAGACCTGTGAGCTTACATCCAATTCTGTGGCTGGTAAAATATTTGAAAGGTTATTAAGGGATAATATTCAAGAATTCCTTGAGAAGAACATGGTTATCAGCTAAAATCAGCATGGTTTTATGAAGCACAGGTCATGTCAAACTAACTTGATTGCGTTCTACGAAGAAGTAAGTAGAAGTATATATCAGGGTGTTGCCGTGGATGTGATCTATTTGGATTTTGCCAAGGCATTTGATACAGTTCCACACAATAGATTAGTGTTCAAACTCAAGGAAATCGGTCTAGATGAAAATGCTTGTTCTTGGGTAGAACATTGGCTTAAAAACAGAGTACAAAGAGTTGTCATTAATGGTAAATTTTCAAGCTGGACAGAGGTGGCAAGTGGTGTCCCTCAGGGGTCTGTTCTGGGACCCCTTCTATTTAACATTTTTATAAATGATCTTGAAGACCACATTGAAAGTCATGTTTCAGTGTTTGCAGATGACACCAAACTTTGTAAAACAATACAATGTGAGCAAGATATTACTTTGCTGCAGAGGGATTTAGATAGACTGGGGGACTGGGCACTCAAATGGCAGATAAAGTTTAATGTTGAAAAATGCAAAGTTATGCACTTTGGCGTAAAGAATACACAAGCAACGTATACCCTTAATGGAAGCCAATTAGGGATAACAACACATGAAAAGGACTTGGGAATTGTTATAGACAACAAAATATGCAACAATGTGCAATGTCAATCAGCAGTGGCCAAGGCCAGTAAGGTATTGTCATGCATGAAAAAAGGCATTCATTCTCGGGACAAGAATATAATTTTGCCTCTTTATAAATCACTGGTAAGACCCCATATTGAATATGCTGCGGGCTACAAAATTAATAAAAGGAATGGAACATATCGGCTATGAAGAAAGGTTAACAAATTTAAACCTATTTAGTTTAGAAAAACGTCGCCTGAGAGGGGATATGATAACATTATACAAATATATTCGGGGCCAATACAAACCATTGTGTGGAAATCTATTCACAAACCAGACCTTACATAGGACACGAGGCCATGAGTTTAGACTGGAAGAAAGAAGATTTCGTCTAAGGCAAAGGAAAGGTTTTTTTACTGTAAGAATAATCAGAATGTGGAATTCTCTGCCTGAAGAAGTGGTTTTATCAGAGTCCATACAGATTTTCAAACGGCTACTAGATGCATACTTGCAAGAACAGAATATTCAAGGATATAATCTTTCAATGTAGGGTAATAACTGCTTGATCCAAGGATAAATCTGACTGCCATTCTGGGGTCAAGAAGGAATTTTTTTCCTAGCTTGTTGCAAAATTGTGCTTCAAACTGGGTTTTTTTGCCTTCTTTTGGATCAACAGCAAAAAACAAATGTGAGGTAGGCTGAACTTGATGGACACAAGTCTCTTTTCAGCTATGTAACTATGTAACTTTTTGTTTTTAACTATTTTGGCCACATCTGCGGAGTACCACAGTGGTTTCTTGAATTTTTTGCTTTTACTGACAAGCCTAATGCAATTTTCTGTTGCCTTCAATAGTGCAACTTTTAAATAATCCCATTTCTCTTGGATTCCATTTAAATTGCTCCAGTCTGATAATGACTCCTCTACACATATTCTAATTTTAGAAAAGTCTGTTTTTCTAAAGTCTAAAACTTTTGTTTTTGTGTGGTGTGACTCAGTCACTGTTCTTATATTAAACCACACTGACTGATGATCACTGGATCCTAAACTTTCACCTACATCAGGGGTTCTCAACCCAGTCCTCAGGACCCCCTACCAGTCCAGGATTTGGGGATTACCTGGGTGTGTCTCAGGTGTTTAGAAAAAGGGAAAAAAACACCTTAGACACACCCAGGTAATCCCTAAACCCTGGACTGGTAGGGGGTACTGAGGACTAACGTTGAGAACCCCTGACCTACAGTAATATCTGATACCAAATCTCCATTTGTTAACACTAAATCTAGTATGGCCTCTTTACGAGTTGGCTCCTCAACAACTTGTTTTAGAGAAAATCCCAGTAGGGAGTTTAGAATATGTGTGCTCCTGGCACAAGTAGCTAATTTTGTTTTCCAATTTACATCAGGAAGATTAAAGTCACCCATGATGATAACTTCCCCTTCATTGTCATTTTAGCTATTTCCTCAACTAGTAGATTATCTAACTCTTCAATTTGTCCTGGGGCCTATAAATCACACCTACACGAGTTACTGTGTGATTACCAAATTCTAACGTAGCCCAAACGGACTCTATGTTTGCCTCACTAACTTTTATTAGGCTAGATTTTATGCTATCCTTCACATACAAGACCACCCCTCCCCCTTTCTTGCCTTCCCTATCTTTCCTATATAAAGAGTACCCTGGTATTGCTATGTCCCAGTCATTTTTCTCATTGTACCAAGTCTCAGTAACAGCGACTAAATCTACACTATCAGTTGCCATTATTGCCACAAGTTCATGGATCTTATTCCCTAAACTGCGATCATTTGTAGACATGACTCTAAGCTTATCATTTTTAACACACTTGCTACAGGCACCTTCTGTCCTTGTTTTGGGGGGCAATTGGATTGATGTTTTATCACCCTTTTGCCCCCCCTCCTAGTTTAAATACATCCTAGCAAAACCTCTGAACTGCTCACTGAGAACATTTGTTCCCTTTTGAGAAAGATGCAAACCATCTTTTTTGTACAGCTTATCTCCATTCCAAACAGA